TGTCTACTACGGTTGTATTTTGTATGCCCTTTGACTCACTGATTAACTCCTAGATATATACACCCAAGAGAAATGAATTAATATGCCCATCAAAAGAAATATACAAAAAAGGGGCACCCTGGGGGCTCAGTCAGTTAAGCATCTGCCTCTGTCTCAAGGTCCTGGGATCAAGCTCCAAGTGGGGCTCTCTGTTCAGCGGGGAGTCTGCTTCTCTCTCTGCCTGCCACTCCCCCTGCTTGTGCTCTCTCTCTGTCAAAACAAAATAAATAAAATCTTAAAAAAAAAAAAAAAAGGAATATACAAAAATGTAACAGAAGCCTTATTTGTGGTGGCCAAAACTAAAAACAATTCAAATGGTATCAACTCTAGGAAGGGTAAATAAATTATAGTAATCTTCATAGCATTAGATGCTACACAGCAATAAAAAAAGAAAGAATAAAACTATGTCATGGATGAATCTCACAAAATTATAATGAGTAGAAGAAGTCAGGGACAAAAGAATATATACTATTTGGTACCATTTATAAGAAATGTTAAGACTACACAAAATATTCAAGGGTAATAGAAATCCAAATAAGGTAATTCTGGGAGAGGGATATGACCGGAAAGAGGTACAGGAAATATTCTGCGTTTTTGAAAATACTCTGTATTTTTCTATGGGCTGTATTTTCACAGGTTGATATATATGAAAATTAATTGAGTTGGAAACCTAATACATTTATGTGTACATGTGTGTACATGTTTCTGCTAAACCTTAACAAAAAAATGTTTAAAGATGTTCTTCCATTTCACTTTATAATACATTTTAATGGCCATGCACTGGACATCCTTGGAATCCACAATCATTGACCTTTTGAGACCTTTTATCTTTTTTTAAACCACACCTTCCTCAGCTTCCTGGTCTTTCTACCTTAATTTCCATTGTATTCACTATTTACAATTCAACTTCCTAAAAAAGACAGTCTTCTACCTATCAAGACCCATATTGCTCCAATGCTCACTACATATCACAGTATTTCACAAAACTCTGTTTTTATGTAAGCTTAGTTTATCTATCAAAATCTGCTAAGACTTTACCTCATCTATGCCAATCTGTAATTCTCCGAAAAAGTTCATTATTTCCTTGCATGAATAATTGTTGGTTTGCAAATTCAGGAGCTTCCCATGTGAACCCTGAAACTGGCCCCTGTGTTTGAAGAGCAAGGAAAGATTGAGGAAAGAGGCCGCCACTCCAGAGTGATAAGTGACAAGTTTAATAAGCAAGGGAACTTACTTACAAGGCTTGTTTTAGGCAGCACCAAGATGGGTAGATCTCTGCACCCACCCGCTAGAGTCCTAAAAATTTATATAGACACCTTACCTGAGTTCTGTTACACATACTGTTCAAATAGTCTCAACCTACATTGCTTTCTTAAGGCTCTGCTCTTGAAAATGGGCTGCCTTGTGGGAACAGTGGGCAGAATATATACTCCAAGGACAGGGGAGGGAGGAAGAAGACTGGGTCCAGCTTAAGGGTCAACCAGTGGCCACATCTTCTCAATGACCTACTCCATCAATGACCAGCTTTTGGTTATAACTGCTTTTATTATGCACACTGATGGAGGGGGGAGTATGGGGCAGGGGGGGGGAGTATGGGGGCAGGTGAGAGGGGCGAGTACAGAGGCCAGACTTTGCTTTAGCTCCAGGTCTCCAGGCAGAATTCCTGAGGCATATAGATTACAACAGTCATACAGCTCCCTCAAAGACCTCCTTTAATGTATTATCACTATTGTTTTACTCTCGTTAGTGCTACTTTCCTCTGATAACCATAACCATGACCCCTCACCAAGATATATGTTAGCAATCATCTTTCAAACATATAGTGCACTGATGTATATTTGAAGTGTCTCATAACTAATGTTTTACTAGACAAAAATAAAGGCAGTCTTATCTTAACAATAGCTAGTTCTCCAAGGTCTTGGAGACCTTGTTTTTAACATGCACAAAAACCTTAGACTTACGCTCTCCTTAACCCCCATTAACTAAAAAGTATACAGTCACATCTTGCAATTCAGTGCAGCTCTTTCTGCCCATGGGTCCTGTCAACCAGCTATAATAAAAGCACCTTTTTTTGCATAAAAAAGTTTCAAAAATTCTTTCTTGACAGTTCACTGGTAGCCCCCATCACATACTATACTATTGATAACTGTCTTCATCATTATCTCTGTATTCTTGAAGGCTCCCATGTATACAGAAACAACACAGATAAGGTGATTTTTATTTTGCCTGAGACCCACATTTCTTCACTAAACTCAACCATTCAACCAGTTCCCGCCTGTCTTATTAAGGCTCAAATCCTGTTTCCTTTAGAGAACCTTCATTCACCTCAGTCAAAATTGATCATGACCTTGCTTCTACTGAATGACGGTAGTACACTGGCTATGCCACTCTTGAGGCATTTACTATGCACTGAAATAATTCTGAAGGGACATGGTTGAACATGTTTTTTAAAAAATTCATTAATAATTAAAAGTAAATAGGTTTTATGGGGCTGCCTGGGTGGCTCAGTGGGTTAAGCCTCTGCCTTCGGCTCAGGTCCTGATCTCAGGGTTCTGGGATCAAGTCCCACATCGGGCTCTCTGCTAGTCAGGGAGCCTGCTTCCTCCTCTCTCTCTCTCTATTTGTGATCTCTCTCTCTGTCAAATGGATAAAATCTTAAAAAAAAAAAAAAGTAAATAGGTTTTAATATTATCGAGGAAGAGGAATTCTCTCTGCCCTTCGAGGACCTTCTAGCCAGACTGAGAATCAGATTGACATGAGACAGATCAGCAGAGAAAATCAAACTTAATTTCCTAGGTATAGGGAATCCTTGCAGACATGGATATTCCAAAGACAGTCAGGCAAAATGAGGTATAAAAGTCATCCTAAACTAAGGAGAAAGGGGTAAGGATGTGGGGCTTCAAAGGGAAGGAAAGCAATTCCCAGGAAGGTGAAAAAGAGTAAATCTTAGATAAACAAATGTTTGCTGGGCCATTTAGAAAAAATGGGACATAGAGGACTTGGATCAAACAGACCTTGGTAGGTTCCTCCCTTTCTACCACACTTAGGTCCTATTATGATGTTAAATATGGTGATTGCTCTTTACTTGGAGGTCTTCTAAATTTTTATGTGCCTTTGAGGGAGAGGTAAAGAGCTTTTCCTGAATTACCTGAGTTTTTATTGCCTTTTTTTTTTAAGATTTTACTTATTTATTTGAGAGAGAGCAAGAGGGAGAGAGAGAGAGCAAGAGCAGGGGAGAGAGGCAGCGGGGAGGGAGATGTGGACTCCACGCTGAGCAGGGAGACCCAGGACACAGATGACCCTGGGATCATGACCGGAGTCAAAGGCAGATGCTTAACCAACTGAGCCACCTCAGTGCCATTTGATTGCTTTTTAACTCAAAATATCTCCATGTCAAAGTGACCCATTTGGAGATGACCTGCCTTTGGTCCCTACAATATTATTAAACTTCTTCACTATAGAAGGTGGACTTCACTCAAAAATGATAGAAGGAATCACAGATAAAAAAGCATCAATAGGTTTTAATATAAAAAATTTAAATTTAATAATGGTGAGTTTTTAAAGAACGTAATTAAAATTTAAAAAGGCAAGTAAGAGATAAGAGGAAATCACTCACAGTAGATATTATAGAAAAAGATCATGACCAATTTTTAAATTTTCTGCTGAATTCCACCCAAATAAATCAGAGAAAATTAAAGTTCCTCTTCCCTGTAGTTATTGGAGTAGAATTAAGTGGGCCTGGAGAAAGAGATGAAACACAAAGAATGGAAAATAAATATTTTAAAGATAAATGTTTATATCTTTCTCATGAGAGCATAGATATAGTGATTACTTCATCTGCTAATCTAATCCTAGCTCAAATAGAAGATAACTTGCATGTCTCTCAGAAACAATCTTGATTTTCATGTCCTTAAAACATTATGTGCACTTTATCACTTTTGAAAGCCTTTCTTAGTTTCCTTGACTGACCATCCCCCAAATGGATTTACAGTGCTAACTTTGTGAAAATAATTTTCTTTGGCAAATTCTATTGCCTAATGGCCACTACAAGACCACTTACGAAGTCTGTAAAAGGTTCTCTGCAGGCCAGGTGGATAATTTAGTCAGCCATTCTCCAGCATTTACTTCTATCTTCGATGGATTTGCCTTTCACTTCCCCACTCTAGCACCTCTCTTCTCTGCACAAACCTTTTCATAGGTATCAAAATAACTTCACAAAGGCTTTGTGTGAGTAAAATTATAAAGAGGTATCACATATACCAAATAAGTATCTAGACTTCAAAATCATTACAAAATGTCTCCTAAAATACTTTATGATGAGACTAGAAATATAAAAATTGACTTTACAGTAATATCACTATGTAATTTCAATTAAAATGTCCTTTGTAAGATTTATTTAGGAAAAAGAAATGAGTGTCTCATTATTCCTAACAACTTCTCCACATAAATGTTCCAGAAGTGAAAGTCCACCTGGCCTGTTTATTCTTCTACATGTCCCACATAGCCACTCTCTCTCTTTTTTTTAATCCAGTAACCAGCCTCCTCATATTTCAAAATCTCTACCTCCCTGCCTTACCCAGGAAACCCACTTCTAGAATTCTAGGAAAAGAGTGTCCATCAGCTCTTTACCAGAAATCCATTGTTCCAAAACTTTAAATTAACATAGCAATAAAATTCTTGAGGTTCTTTTTCACCCTTATTTATCTATTTATTATTTTTTAAAAATAAACATGGTCTTAAGTCGTCCACGGTTGCCTTGGTAGTAAAGGGGCAGTGGTGCTGAGCAGCATCTTCTGGTGTATTTCATCAGCCAATCAGGTCAGGAGTTATGGACCTGAAGCCAATGGGTGCAGACCAGGGGCGGGGCTTGGAGCAAGTAACTGCCAGAGAGCTTGCAGTTGATTGTGGCTGTTCTGGGGTGAAAAGAAGAGCTAGTCTCCACTTCTCACTACCCCAGGATACTCCTTCTGAGACTCTGGACGGTGAGCCCTCCTGCAGTTTTTCCTTCAGGAAGTTGCCCTTCCCTTCTGGTACTTTGCTCCCTCAGCCTTTCCTTGGAGAGGAGGAAATGCTCCCACACTATTCCAGCTACCCATTCAGCCAGCCATTCCCTCGAAGAGTTTCCACCTTTCCTGTGGCAGCCAAATCAAGGCAAACGAGCCTCTCATTTGGACTTGCTGCGCCTTAACCGCTGTCCCTCCTCCATGACTCTTCCTATGTCATCCCTTCCAAACTATCTGGTTTATAGGTTTGTTACCTTTGCCTTGCTGAGGCACAGAGAGGAAAGCACGCTGATGTCCTGGTCAGTCTCCTCAGGTGCATGGAGCTGAGCCGAGAGGGATGAAGGGCTCCTTGGGAGTGAAGAGGCATTAGGAGGGCGACAGACCGTCCATGTCAGTTAGAGTCGTGAGTAAGGGCTGCTGTGTGGTGTGGCAGGACCCCGGTGGTGGTCTGTCATAAACCTTTAGGCCAGAGTTTGCCCCTTGTGAAGATTACTGGGATGCCACTGTGCCCTCCGCGAATTCCTGAAAAATGTGGTGATTAGAAGGAAAAAAAGACCTCCCATTTTCAGGGACAAAGAATTAGTCTTACTTCCTCTTTTCCATGACAGAGAGAATTTCTTAAGGCCGACTGACTGTTGAGAGGCAAGGCTACATGCCCTTTCTGAGAGAGCAGTCATGAATTTACTCCATGCATAGTGGAAATGGAGGCATTATCGAATTTATTGAAAAATTAATGTAGGAAACCTATATGGTAATTTCAAGACAAATGAATACTTTTAATGAGACACAGACTCATAAACTTCTCCAAAGTTGTCAAAAGTCAGCTGAACCTTGAGAAGAGTTTCATTGAACATTGAAAATCTGTTTAGTCTCGCTGCTATTTCTTTACCCATACCTTTTAAAATATTAAGCTAGAGTAATATTAGCATTTACATGCTAACTTAAAATGAGATCATTTCGTTGGGTGAGAGGTTTGCCAGGAGAATTTGGCATAGAGGTTGGAAAAGCCAGACTGAGTGTTTGCCATGTATTTACAGCCAGATAGTGAAATTCAGTTGAACTTGATCATCTGTATCCCTGAATTTCAAGGATAATGAAGACAGAGTAATTTTTTTTCTTTTCTGAAAGGAGTTGATTAGGATTAAATATATAAACACTTTTTAAAGTTTTCATATAAACAATTTTAGAAATAAGGAAAATGCTTTGGGAACATGTCTCCCTACTTTTAGTTTGGAAAATAAACTCCTTAATTGTAGTAAATTCTGCAAGCATGTAAGAATGTGTAACTATGTTGCAGAAAATACTTTTCCTTTTTTGGTCAAGCCTCTTTGCTCCAGGATGTTTAATTTTGGAATAACAGTGGGCAAGTTAATAGGTGACATTGACATTATTTTTCTAAATAGTTTGGCATTTAACTAAAAGCAAGTATCATTAAACTATCACAGTGTTGTTTCCTAAAGGCATGGACTTCTCTCAGGGCAGGGCTTCGGAATAATGGCTGCTCATTAGAATCACTGGGAAGCTTCTGAAGTTCCCAATACCCAGGTTAGACCTCAGACCTATTAGATTAACCTCTGGGAGTGCCACCCATACATCTGTACTTTTTTTTTTTTTAAAGATCCTATTTTTAGGTAATTTCTACACCCAACATGAGGCTCAAACATTACATCAAAAACTAATGATGTATGGTGACTAACATAACATAATTAAAAAAAATTAAAGTTTTAAAAAATAAAAAATAAAACAAAATTGCTAAACATTGAAAAAAGAAAGAAAGAAATGATTTGAGACTAAAAATGGAGGAATTTTGCCTTTGAATTGGGTGAATCCCAGTGGTTGCTGACTTTGACTGCACATTAAAATTGCTGATGAAGCCCAGGCTGCAAGTCAGACTGATCAAAACAGAAATCTCTGGGGATAGGACCCAGGCATCAGTATCATTATAACACCACAGGTGATGCCAAATAAATAAAATAGACACAGAGAGATAAGTTTCACAGATAGGGACCTATACACATAGGAAGAGTGAGGACAACAGCCGTGAAGGAAGCTGCCCAGAGTCTTTCACCCTGTAAGCTGCAGCCCATCAGCCCTTTGCTTACGGGCAGTCTGACCACAGTCGGCACTTTTACATTGGTGTTAATATGATACAACCTTTATAAATGGTGTTTACGAGGCTCTTTGATGCTACTGATAGAACACCGAGTGCAAAGCAGTATAAAGTATATTAGTGTAAAGATGAGCCCAACAGTGTAAATAGTACACACAAGAACCATGAGATGGCAGGACTGTGGTTGATTTTTTTCCCCCTGTTTTTGGCAATGTTTGTTTACATATTTATTTCAGAAGTGTTCAGTAAACATGTATTCATTTAATTTTTTCTTTCAAAATATTATTTTTATAATTAGAAAAGGGTATATAATAACATAAAGTATTTAAAATTTAAAAAGACATTGAACTTTGAAATTTAAAAAGACATTTCTGGATTAGAAAAGGAAGTTTGGTAAAAATGAACTAATTTAGCATGGCAGCCAGATAAGATGCTAATAGAGGACACTAGAAAATGTTAAGTCACTGTTAGGAGATAGAATTGGAAGAATTCCCTGCATGAATTTTAAGACCCTGATATAAAACACTCCTTAGCATGGGAAGCAGATGAGATTACAGACTGTAATTATCACTTATTTCCTCAAACCAAGACACATCCCAGTGTAAGGTTTTATAGGCAAGATAAACACGACACCAGGCGAAGTGGGTGCAAGGCAAGATTTATTAAAGGCACTCTCCAGTGAAGTTTCAGGGCTCTGGAGAAGGAGAGCCAGGAAAGTTGCCCCCGGAGGAGGTGGGCACCCTTGGGCAAGGTTCCTCCTGGAAAGGGGAGTGGGGGAAGTCGCACTGGGAGGGAGTTGGTGGGGGTCTTTTATCGGGCCAAGGTAGGGCATGGGCTCACATCCATATATGCTAGGGTATTTGGTGATCGGAGGGTATGGGGTGGGGGGTCCTGATACTTCTGTTTCTTGCATAGGTATCGGGTTACCTATGGAGACGTGACCTGGGCATACATCCTTTTGGCGGAAGAGTCAAGGGTTAAGGAAGGGGGGTGGGGAGGCTGGAAGATGGCTGCCCCAGGGGTCATTTCTATTGTTCCTCCTGCATTTCCCGGAGCCCAAAACCCAGGACACATCATGGCCCTTGTTGTTCCTCTTCCATGAAGCAACAATGAGATAGAACATGTAACAACTCCCTTGTTTTAAATCCTTTTGGTTTCAACATTTTTCTTATGTTCTTGGTTACTATATAAATATACAAAAGTTAGAGAAAACCTGGCTCATCGCACCTAAATGAGATAAAAGAATGCTAAGATGGAATATCACCATGGTCTATTAACTCCTGTCTGGAGAGAGCAGCAAAAGAGATCAGAATATTCTGACCGTATCCATTTTCCCCATTTGGAACAGCTGCCAGACACGCTTGCAGAGTCTCAGATAAGCTGAGGGCAAACCCTTCAGTTGTTCATCACCAGAACTAAGTAATCTACACTAGTCTGTGGTCCCAGTAACTGGTTAGATGAAAACTCCTTACACACCATTGGGTAGATGCACGGTGAATAACAGCAGAGGAGTGCTTGGCATTGTAAGTGAACGCAGGGTGACACTGGCTAGTCTCTATCACTTGGGGTTGTACCTTTTATATCTCATTCAAATTGTAGGCATCATAGAAGGCAGAGGCTTCCCAAAATTTGGTGGACCCTAAGATATCACCAGAAGTAATTAAGGAGAAATGTGAACTGCTTTCTTCTTCTTCTTCTTCTTCTTCTTCTTCTTCTTCTTTTTTAAAGAAATGTACTAGAAGCCCAAGAAGAAGGCAAATTTTACAATCCTGTGATCCTGTGAGAGTTTTGCTGAGTCTTAAGAGTTGAATTCAAATGGTCTGTGAGAAACAGCAGAATGGATTTGAATTCTAGTCATTCTAATTTCACTCTTCTTACCAGAGGATTTTCTAACACATGGCAGGAATTTTTCACAAGTACGTTTATGACTGCTTCTGAAGATCTCCCTGAAATCATTCTAATACTGTCCTTGGTCTGCACAGTTGGGGGTAGGTATAACTCTCTTTATTTGAGTTTATTCTATGGCTATTTCTTGTAAATGTCACCATATAGAACTGGGGAAAGTAGCAATAATAGAAAATTAGAATTTTGTTCCTAAATTCATACTTTTAACCCAAGATTATCAACCAAATGATAATCTGCCCCTGAAAAAGAGATATGTAGAGTCTAGTTCATATTATTTATCGTCTTTTGGATTCAAAGTATTCACACTTTTTACTTGGTAGATTTAAACGATGGGAAGAATCAAAGCAGATGAGCCAAAAATTAAGAGATGGGGTATTTTGATTGCTATCTGCAAGATCACAAACTATAGTTTCATTCATATATTAAAACTAGTTGTGTACTACTTTCTTCATTTGAGCAAAGAATTTTCAAAATGAGGGGGAGTCTTCTGAGTGGATCGGTTATCTTTTAACCACTTGGTAGGGTGTCCCATAGGTTTTGTTCAAATAATAAATTATGCCTCCTTCTGTGAGAAGAATACTATAAAAATCCAAAGAAAACACTTTTTTTTCATTCTTTGATTAAAACTTATATTACAAAGAGGCAGAAAACATTAAACTGAAGGAAATGCTGTGATATTGCTTATTGTACTTTGATAACAATTCATTACAGGCTTTCTAATGTGTAGTAGGCAACCCGTAATATAGGAAGCTAGCTTTTCTCATTGGGCAAATTCTTATAGCTGGTTCCTCATTGTTAGTTTGGGAATCAACCAGGAGATTTCATTAAAGTTTAGTTATTTATTAACGTTTTATTGCAAGATTGCTAAAGAAACTAGTACCTGATATATAGCATGTACAAAAAATTGCTATAAATATTTTAATAATAACCCAAGAACCAATGACTGCTAGCAATATTTACTAAAGATACTGAGGAAACGAGATACTTCATAGAAGAGGTAAATACAGAATCCAGCAGATTAAGAATTATACCAATTCAATATGCTTAAGTATGAGAGAAGGTTTCAATTACAGGAATTAAGTAAGTGAAAAGTGGAACAGTATTTCATTGTCCTCAGTATTAAGAAAACATATCAAATTAAAGTTCCATAAATGTGATATTTCACTGCCTTTCAGTAAACATGTATTTTTTTTGCAGCATTTTTGAATCTACACTTAAAAGACTTTCCAGTTCCTCTCCCTGTGATATTATTTTTAATTGGATGCAGTTTTGAAATATTAAGTTTTACTTCTGAGCAGGTGTGTATAGTAAATATGAGTATTTTGTAGTATATCTCAAATTCATACAAATACAAAAATGGCTTAAGGAAATTTGCAAAAATACTTGCCAACTCACTGCTCTGCCAGTCTATGAATGCTTGTGATATGGATGACGTCAGACCAGATGCATGAAAAAAGGAACAAAGGTGACAGAGCTGAGATTCAGCTAAATGTAGTCAAACAGAGCCTCCATCTGTAAGGAGTTGGGCACCTCAGAGAATAAGTTCACATACACCTACTGAGAGTATAAGCAGCTAATGACAGTTAAAGCAGAATTCAAAAACTTAGATGAGAATTGCCTCTTCTCTTTAAAGATTTTACTTATTCATTTGTCAGAGAGAGAGCACAAGCAGGGGGAGCTGCACGCAGAGGGAGAAGCAGGCTCCCTGCTGTGCAAGGTGCCTTGATGTGGAACTAGATCCTAGGACCCTGGGATCATGGTTTGAGCCAAAGGCAATGCTTAACCAACTGAGCTACTCAGGCATCCCAAGAATTGGCTAATAAGATAGAAGCCCAGAGCCCCTGAGCAGCTGGTACAGGACTCTAGTTGCAAGAGAATTCTGACATTGAACCAATCTATTGCCTCAGTTAGGAACGCTTTACAGGGTTCCCATTATAATAGAGGCTAAGTCTTTAAGTGTGTGTCTTACAAGATCTCAAGAAACAGAAGTTGAACTTCTTACCTGGAGTTGGAAGTGAGAGGAAGGCAAACCACAGATGTAGTCAAGGCAGCTACGGTGTTATAAATAGTTGTGAGCAGCTGGAGTCAGGTAGAGGAGAGAGACTCTCTTTACTATAAGGGATGTAGAATGCATCATTGACACCTTAAATAGTTCTCTAGCCCCGGGTTGGCAACAAACTTTTTCTATAAAAGGCCATATAGTAAATATTTTAGGTTATCCAAGCCACGTGAGCTCTGTCACAATTACTCAACAATATGTAAGTGAGAGGCATGGCTGTGTTCTAATAGGAATTTATTTTACAAAAACAAGCATTGAGTCAGATGTGGCCCCAGGCCATAGTTCTCCACTTACTCTAGTCAATCAGAGTGTGAATGAGAACATGTATGAAAACGATTGGCCTTCCCAAATAAATGTAACCAGTGATATTAATGAACATTATGAAAAACATGTATCCATATAAGAACCAGATTATTACTTCATTTGTCATCAATAGGTTTTGTAACCATGCAATTTTGACTTATATGCAATTTTAAGTACTTCTATCAACTTTTCTATTTGTCAATAACTTTTTAAAAGAAGAGAACAGAGATCAAGAACTGTGCAGGGTCTAAGATTTTACTCTATTTGCAAATAATAAGTTAGCCTGCCACAGTTTCATGATCCTGGCAAAAGACATGGGATGCTTGGGCCCAAGAAAAGGACTTTATTGCTCATGGCAAGAGCAGAAGCTGGAGTATCAGCATCTTCTTGTTCCATGAGCCCCAATACCCACAGGGATAAAAAAAGAGAGCCCGGTGAAACCTGCATACATGATGGATTGATTTAGAGGAGAAGAAACCTGAGTTTAGAGAACTTGAATATTTCGTGATGGGCAGTAAGCTCTCCTGACCTCTTGCCCTAGACGGAGACACTGTCCTTATTACACTGTACAGCATAGGATGCCAGTTCTTTGCTCTCAAGGAGGGCACTTGGCTCTGTCTTCCAAAGCTGTTAGCCATACAAATACTTTTGAAAGTTAGTCTGGAAGAAAAGCAATCAGTGCCTCCACTCATAAGATGTGGAGAAACACAAGAGACTCATGGAGACTCATCCCTCCCAAAGCAAAGATACCACCAAACACAGCAGGCAATCCGTGTTTCCTTAATGAACAGAATGTTGAGTGGATGCCCATAACAGGATTTACAAATAATCAACTAAATAATTTGTGATAAACACCATTAATTTGTTATTTCACTAACAACATTAACTTCCCAGTTTTTATTCCCGCTACTCTCCCACACACATCTTCTGTGTAAGCCATGGTTAATTATTTGTAGTTTCTGAAATTTAATATGATTGCTTGCTCCTTTGTGGATGGTTGTGCATGATAATCCATCCACCTGAAACCTGTCTTCCTCTTGTATGCCTGAAGATCTCCTTCATATTCTCTTGTACCCACTATCAATGTACTTTCTATACCCGTTGTTTAAAAAACAAAATAGGCATGGAGATAATGCGATGGAAAATTATGAAAATCTGGAGTGCCTGGGTGGCACAGTCAGTTAGGTGTCTGACTTTTGGTTTCGGTTCAAGTCATAATCTCAGGGTGGTAAGATCGAGCCCTGCATGGGGCTTAAGTCTTAAGACTCTCTCTCCCTCCCCTACTCCACTTTCCCCTCTCTCTAAAATAATAAATAAAATTTTTTTTAAAAGAAAATGATGAAAAGCAATACAGTCAAGATTTGAACACCTATTCATTGTGATATATCTTTTTCTCTTTTGCTAGAGAAAGGAGTGCCTGGCATGTAATCTATGCTAATAGAAGGATGGATAAATGAGAAAATGACATATTTTTTATATTATTAGGTCCAAATATATGCAGATACCATACAATGGATGAGTCCAAAAATCTTTTTTGATCTATTTACCCCAATAATTATCTTTAATGTTGCCTTTGACATGGATGTTTACATACTGCAGAAGTTATTTTGGCAGGTAAGACATTCTCTTTTGCGATAATATCATGCACTCATGACCTACTCTCTGTTGTCTGTGTTCAGATTTTTAAAAATTTTGCTCTAAATTAAAAAATAAAGAAGACAAGGAAAAAACATTAGGTGTGGGAGAAGTAAATTCAGCTTTGTATTTTAGTGAATAAACCATATTTGAGCAATTGTCCAGTGTTTTTGAAAGCTCAGGGGGAAAAAACCTATGGAGAAAAAAAGTTATTCTGAAAATCTGTCTGGCAGAGTATAATGCCAGTTATAATTTTAACTCCAAGATGCTATTAGAGAGCTATTACAAAATATATTTGGTCCAGTTTTTTATTGTTTTTCATAAAAGCTGTGTTTTAAATATCCACCTTCTGAAACTTCCATACTCACATGAACAAAAATGGAGAATACTCACAGGAAGATCTCTAACTGTAATTCACCAACTGTTATGATTTTTTTTCTCATCATGTGATATTTGAAACCCATCAAGGAAAGAACTTTGGAAAACTCCAAATCTTAAGCAGGATATATATTTCTTTCAAAGTAATTAAAATAGCTTTGTAAATATAAGGCCATTACCTAAACTACATTAGAAAACAAACTATTAAAATAACTTACTTTATTTTGAGTCCAAGCAAATGGGAGTTCAGACAAATAACCAAAGGAAAAAAAGAAAGAAAGAAAGAAGGAAAATAAAAGAAATTGAACAGAATAGAGATATAAAAGTACTTCGGGCTGGATTTGGGTGATCTCTGCTGAGCTGTCTCCTGCAACTCGGTACAACTCTTGGGTCAGCCGAGGTGGGATGAGCTGGATGGCCCCATGCATGGTAGTTACCACTAGAGTTGGCTGTAGGCAGTGGGTGTCACTACCATGATCTAGAAGGTTATTCCAGATTTCTTGCCATGACGGTTGCAAGGTCTCAGACATCAACAGAAGAGAGCAAGCTCCATTTTGCCAATGCTTTTTAGGTTGTACCTTCATTGTGTTTGCTCCTTTTAGCCAAAGCAAAGAATGACATGACTAACCAAGTCAGTGCTGGAGATAACTTTCCAGTGGTGTTAATTCAGGGAACAGAATTACTGCAACCACTTTTACAAACAATATGCTTTGTGACTTATCGGGGTGTTGACAGCTATTTGGTGAGAGTACAAAGATGCAGGTCTCCTGACCCTCAGTCTTCTTATCTCAGAGCCTCATTTTAATTTTTCCTTTGAACAGGAGTTAGTTATACAACTCTCCAGATGATCAAAACCTTGCCATGAGAACCCAGCCACCCTAGAGGTCAATCATGTAGGAGGCGTTGATTTTCTCACATCTTTCTAATGCTGTCACCAAGGTTCATCCACCAAAGACTCCCTCTCAGGAGATCCCGGGCTCGACAGGGCCGTATAAACAATCCATCATTATTCTGCTGCTTCTAAGATTCAGGAAGAGATGTATGATTAGATGACTCAACCAAATCACTTAGCACTAGCTCCCCAGCCTCCTGAGCTAGAGTCTATTCCCCAATTCATCATGCATGACTTCATACAAATGAAGAACAAAATAATCAGAAAGAAGATAGCTTTTAAGATTTTAGTTCTTCTGAATTCTTTTTTTTTTTTTTTAACCTATCTTTGGTTTTGCCTCTCTAGAGCCTACACAATGCCTCATTGCTAGCAGGTGGTGAATAAACATGTAATAAACAAAAGAATGAGAGCCTGTACTTTTTCATTAGAGAAAGGCATGACTTTCCTGATGTAGCAAAAACTGAGATAGGAACCTGGGGTTGTCATTTGATTTTACTTCTCTGGAGAATTGTCTTAAATGGGATTGATTGGTACACTGTTGGTGGCTATGTTTGTTGGCAAACCTTTCTGGAAGGCAGTTTGGCAATCTCTATGGAAAACCTTAAAATGGTGCATGTCCTTAGTATTACTTATTGAAATTCTGAAGAAATAATTAAGGATGTATGATAAAGTTTAGTCACAAGACTCCTATAGGTATATATATATATATATATATATATATATATATATATATATATTTATATATATATATATAGCTGTTTTTATTTAATATTGGTAGTAAGAGCATTTGTGAATATCATTATGAAATATTTATAATTTTTCATTTTTATTTTTTATTTTATTTTTAAATTGAGATATAATGGACATACGACATTATATTACTTTCAGGTATACAATGCAATGATTCGGTAGTTGTATGGATTTTGAAATGACTATCAAAATAAGTCTAATTAACATCCATCACCACATAATTACAAATTTTTTTAATTTGTTGCTAAATTCTTAGCTTTTAAATATACAGTACAGTATTATTAACTGTAGTGACCATGCTATACATTGTATCTCCATGATTTATTTAGAACTGGAAGTTTGTACATTTTGACCCCCTTCACCTCCCTAGGTCCTACCCGATCCCTCATTGCCTAGCAGATGGTGAATAAACATCTAATAATGTTTCACCCTTTTCACCAACTTCCTGCCCCTCCCCTACTTCTGGCAATTGCCAATCTATTCTCTATGTCTATGAGCTCAGTTTATTTATTTTTTTTAAGATTCCACTGTATTTCCCTTTTTCTATATGACTTATTTCACGAAGCATAATGCCTTCAAGTTTCATCCATGTTGTCGCAGAAGACAAAAATTCCTTCTCTTTTATGTTGGATAGTATTCTATTATATATATAATACATATTCTTTATCAACTCCATCTATCAATGAACACTTCGTTGCTTCCATGTCTTATTAGTGTATATATTATTGTAAATAAAGTAAATGGAGTAAATTAACATTATTGTATCTAAATAATGCTGCAATGACCATGGGGATGCATTTCTGAATTCTTTTTATGTGGGGTTTTTTTTTTATTGTGTTATGTTAGTCTTATAGGTAGCTTCAGGCACATCACATTTTCTAAGTCCCTTTGGGAATGAAATCTTGCTAATAGCTGCCACTGGTGTAGTAAGAGGAAGCAGAAGGCAACGGTAGGAAGGCAGAAGACCAGGTTCCAATTGTAGAATAACAGGAATTTTCTTCCCATCTTTCTAGAGTCCTCTGCCATTTCTCTACATTCCTTCTATTATCTTATTTTCTTCTTCTTTTCCTCTTTTGTGACTTCTTTCAAACTTGTGTTCTTTCTATGTTAATAGCCTATGTTTCACTTCTCTGCATAGTTAAGTGTGTATATATGCATGTGTATATACTGTATGTGCGCATACACCTTTACACATATGTATGTATATTCAGTGGCCTTGCCAAGAAAATTAAAGTTTCCTTTTAATGACAGTATGATATTTCCTATAACTGGTATGTTATAGGTCCTAAGAATCTCATTGCAATATTTGCCTCTTATTTCCAGAGTTGCAAGCAGATGTTTATTAAATAAGGTTGATAATCTACTTTTAAAAATAGGATACAAAGGCAATCTGATTTTTCTATCTGTAAAATTTTTTTGCAGGTACTTTTAATTACAATTCCTGGCTTTGTGATGAATTATATATTAATTCTTTGGTATCTGGCATCTGTGGATAAATTACTTTTGGAAACCACACCATGGTTATTATTTTCAACGATCCTTATGAGTTCAGATCCCATGCTGACAGCAGTTGCTATAAGAGACCTTGGTAGGTATATTTTTTCTTTTCCTACATTTAAAATATTATGTTCTGTGTTTAATGTATCTAGCTTTAAGATATTTTATTCAGTGTAGATTTTCACTATGTGAAATAGGATTCTGAGACACTGGGGATTAAACATGGAGATTCAGTTTAGTGATCCTTAGAACAAAATGAAATGCCAGTAATGGATTTACTATATATATATATATATATATATATATATATATATATATATATATATATATATTTCATCCAATTGTGGGATAAAATGGGATTATTTGTAATCCTTGACTTTATACATCCTTCTATCTTGAACCAACATTTGCAGGAACAAACAATTTGCAGCACACTGTGGTAACATTTCTATTGCCTAATACCCCTGTTCCTTTGACAATACTGTCATTAGGATAATGCCATTTGTTTTAAAAAAAAAAAAATTGCTTTTAGAGTCATCATCACCATTAGGACCAAAAAACTTGAAAAGTCAAAAACAATAAAATCATTAATCCTACTGTGTTTTCAGTGTGTACTATTTTAGAAGAAATAAATCTATATTTAAAAATAAAATACCAAGTCAACGTAACCCCCACACACACACAAATCTAAGAACCTCATCCAAGAAAAACAATTACTGAATTTGTTTTCCTCCAGTCACTTTTTAGTAACAAGAATTACAACATTTGTTTTGAAATATTATTTATTTATTTATTTATTTAAGATTTTATTTATTTATTTGACAGAGAGAAAGATCGCAGGTAGAGAGAGAGGGGGAAGCAGGCTCCCTGCTGAGCAGAGGGCTCGATCTATTTCACCCCTGAAATAGAACTTAATATGGCATGTGTGCATGTGCACACACAAACATGCCAAACAAACACATGCACACACACTTTTCATTTTATGATCAGTTACAGGGGAAAAAGCTGCTGGAGGCAAGTAGAAATAAAATAGAGGAGACACATCAATGTACCTCTACAAATAAAGGCAAGCCAACTCTTCAAAACAGAGATTAAGTTTGTGAAGTAAGACTCTGGAAAAAGGAAGTGTCAACATCTGTCACCCAACCCTGTCTCTATGGGGACTCTATCAGTGCCAGCCCTTTTTCTACTCGAAAGATTTGGTTGGGGTGCCTGGATGGCTCAGTCCTTAAGCTTCTGTCTTCGGCTCATGTCATGATCCCAGAGTCCTGGGATTAAGCCCTGCATCGGGCTCCCTGCTCTGCAGGAAGCCTGCTTCTCCCTCTCCCACTCCCCTCTCTCACTGACTGGAGTCATGATCTCTCTCTCTCTCTATCTTCCGCTGCCCTTCTCCCTGCCCCCACATGCACGTGTTCTCTCTCTCTCTCTCTCTTGAATAAAGAAATAAATCTTTTAAAAAAATAAGTGATTTCTTTGGGTTAACTTACAAAGTTATGCTCATACATTTTAGTCATCTTGCCATGACTTTTGGAATTTTGTATTTCTCTTCATGTTGTGTATTTTAAAAAAATAAGAATGAACAATAAAATATTTTTCTCTTGGTAACATTTTTTGTCTGAGTTTTCAAAGCAAGATTTTTATATTTGTTTTATTTTACTTTCATACACACACAACGTCTGCCCAGGCTTCTGAGTACATGAGTATATTCACGTTGTCCTTTGACGGTCGGTTGACCCCTCTTATGCCCCCATGTCAGTTGTTCATTTTCAAATATTTACATCTTGTTGTAGTTCATTTTCCAAATTGGAATAGTTATACGACAGTACCAGTTAGGTTTTTCTCAGTAGGGAATAACTCTGAGTTTCAACAATTGAGTAAGAAAAAGCACAGTGGCTTAAAAACAGCAGTTATTATTTCTCATGAGCTTACCAGTTATGAAGGCATGGCTGGGCTCTGCTGATCTTGGCTGGGCTTGCTAATGAACCTTCAGTCTGGTAGAGGGTCATTTGGGGGCTAAGTAATCTAGGATGGCCTCAACTGGGGAGATCCACTGTTCTTCTTCATATCTCTCGCAATCTTCCAGTAGTGTAGCCAGTGAACACTAGCATGATGGTGGCAGAGATGCAAGAGATAGGAAGCAAAAATGTGTCTTAAGCCTCTGTTTGCATCATGTCTCATAACAAAACAGGCTGGATATCTTAGGTGAGAGAGACTGCAATTTTACAGCAAAGGGCATGAATGTGTAAAGAGGTGAAGAACTGGACCATCAAGGCACTTGAGCTTCCACAGGAACAGAATGCCTTGACTTCTCTTCTCTTACAAAAGCATACTTACTGTGTTAGGTTGTGATCATAAAGTCGTTGGATGATGTAATAACATTTCCTTCCTCTGGACATCTAAAGAATCATTAAGATGCTCAAAGTTATATTTTTGCCACTATAAGCATATTTAATAGAGAAAAATGATAATTGATAGATATCTAAACTAGCTTCATAAATGGAGGGAAATTAGGATGGGAGTACCTCATATCCAGGTGCTCTCCATTTCATAGAGCTTGGTTTCTAAAATCTTCAAAAGGAATGTATAGGAAAGTCAGACAGTTTCTAATCATAGAAAGATTATCTTGACCATTGCCCTAATACTTTGTTTAGGTACCATGTTTTAAAATTTGGCTTATGAATTTCCTTTATCCCTCCATCATTGTTTTTTGCCTTAAATACATGATATTAGATAAGTCACCAAATTAAAAAAAAAAATAGTGAATTTCATGTTCTGATCTGGGCTTTAAAACAAGGAATGACAGCTTTAGCTGATCATCTTTCTTACGAAAACTGTGGTCAACCACAATTAGTTTGGTTCCTAATTACAGAGTCCAGACTTACAGTTGATACATAATTAAATTTGTCCCAAGGGAGTTTTCAAGCATGACTAAAGTTTGTTTAAGTACATGGGCAAAGTATGTGGTATAAATCTATAGCTTAGAATATAGTCCTACTTGATAATAAAATTTTATTCTTTAATATTGATGATATTCCCACCTTAAACAAAATATTTTCTCTTCCATAGGTCTTTCTAGAAGCCTCATCAATTTAATTAATGGAGAAAGTCTGATGACCGCTATAATGTCTTTGATTGTGTTTACTAGTATTGGGGATATTAATGTAAGCCTGAAAACGAAGGTGAACCATTCTTTAGGTAAGGACTTATTTTTCTTCTAAATTTCTTAAAATCAGAATCCTATATTTTCTAGAAGCTGATGTGGGTTTTATAATATAATAAGTTACGCTTGTACAAATATAATTGTATTAGTACAGTGACCTACACTTTACAAAGCACTACCACACCTCCCTTATTTAACATTCATTGTGGTTTTAGTTGAGGCTAGGTTGGGACTTTCATAAGGATGCTTATAGGAGCAACAGTTCACAGACCTAGGCTGAGACAGAATGCTTGACCAGAATGAGAAATGTTGTTTTGTAAGTGTTGAAAAGGAACTCAGAAGATAAGCCAGGTAATGCATCTGCCAGTGGTGAGAGGATGCAGCGGTTGCCCTCCCATTCACTGGAGCTATCTCCCCACAGGCAACATCAAAAGCTGTCAGCTCAGGGACTAAGTGGAGGGCCATCTTCAGAGCATGAGAGCAGTGCTTGTAAACAGAGAGATTATGAGGTGTTCATGAGCTCGTTTGCCCTTTCAGATAGCCCTGAACATAAGTATCTTTTATTACTTTATCATATATCTGTGTGTGTGTGTGTATACTATATGATATATGCACACTATAATGAATGATTATAAAATATACAGATGAGTAATTAGCACTCAAGACAAGAAATATAATGTCACCAGGAGTCCCAGAAGCATTTTAAGTGCCCCTACCTGATTAAAACCCCATACCCTCCTCCTGTCACAGTGGTTCTCAAAGTTTAGTCACTGCACTGGACAGGGTGGTGAGAGAGTGTGTCTATAGGACCCTTTAAGGATGTCCATGAAGTTAATATTTTCAAAATAATATTAAGAGTTATTTACCTTTTTTTTTTTTTACTGTGTTGCCATTTGCACTGATTTTAGAAAAGTAATGATTATAGACTTCTTGAGAAAATTGTTGACATATGCTATTCCACTCTCTGGATGTCTTTTGTGCTCTAAAGCCTTATGAAGCATTATCTCATTTCACCTTCCTATTCTCTTGAAAAAAGAGCATTTAGGAAGACCACATTCTAGTACAGCAAAGTGGTCTATATGATGCCAAATAATAAGTTATATTGAAATAAGAGCTTTCCACTATCCCCTATCCCCAGCAATTAAGCATATCTCAAATTACTTTTGTAACCACTCAAGAAGATGAAGCTTTAGCTAGATGTTGCTTTCCCTGTCCTTAGAGAGTACTTCATTTTTGGGCAGCCGGGAATCTTGTTTACGTCTATTCTGACCCATCTATGCCTCACATATTTATAATCAATGCCTAAAACTAAGAATTAAAGACTGTTCTTTCCCAAGAACACCATTCTGGGGATCATCACTCCTCTCATGTCTCCCTCAAGGTAGCTGGTCTAAATGGTGGAGAGTTACCCTACTTCGACATAAGGAGAGCTCACCTTCAACCTTGCTCTGTATTCAATTAGTTTACCCAGGCCATGGCTGCTTGGAACATCTGTGGTGAACCTAGAATCCTAGTTTACCACAGGAAGGTACACCCTCTTTAAGTGCCTCATATATTTCATCTGTGGTGTGTGAGGAAGTCAAACTACCATATACATTCAACCTCTTCCAAAGTCCATATTATGTCTCTCAGAGGGCTTTCACCACAAAACTTCCTGAAGATGATGAAGGTGAACAACATAAAGATGTCTATATTCAGAAGCCTCTTAAAAACTCAAGGACCACTCTCTCAGAAAACCAAAAAATACAAAGAGGTATAGTCATGAGTGCTCCATGCCCAGCCTCCAAATCTGATCCACTATTCTATTGGCTCCATTTAAGATGGTAATGATTGACTACAGAATTTCAGGGAACCTTATCAGAGTTGATACCTATAATCTAATCAAGAGAACTTTCTTGATATTCACTGGCAAGCAACCAATAAAAAAGGGGGGTGGTTACTGATATGGAAATTATTCATTCATTCATTAATAAACAATTAATTATTGATATGTACTCTCTGATAGTTCCTATTCTAGGCCTCATGTTTCAACCATGAACACAGTAGTCCTTGCTCTCACAGAGCTTGCTTCATAATTTTTGATAAAATTAACGAAACAGAATTTTGTGTTTAAGTTTCAGAGGAGTAAAAACCATAAATAATCATTCTATCTTAATAATAATAGTAACAACTACAATAATAAAAACTCTGCTGAAGGATGAAGAGAACAGTGAACTTTTTTTCCCTAGCCATGAGGGATTTCTCTGAATTTTTAATAGATTTGAAAGAAAAATTTCCTTTAAAAAAAAAAAAAAGATGCTTAATAAGATTTACTGATATTTCATTTGTAGCAACTGACATAATAGTGAATCAGTAATTTTCATAATAATTATTATTTTTAAAACTCAGGTAATTATTTAAATAATGTTGCTCCATGAAGTTAGCACATATTCCACAAAGGGGAAAACTAAGAGGAGTTACTGTACTCATATTTCTGTCCTTCCCAGCTTGCATGTTAGGAGTTTAAAACCATTGTAAGAAATAATGGATTTACTTTTTTCTGGCCTAATAATTCCATTTAATAAATGTTTTACTGATTAGAAACTATTTTTCTTTTTTAAAAAAAGAAAGCAACTTTCAAATGGGTCTTCTAACTCCAGTTCCCTACCTCCTTCTGAAATCAGAGTCTACCTCCGATCTGTTTCAGTTGCAGGTGGTACTAGACTACCCAAATTACCATTATGGCTTATCTCCATGCCTAGAGCAGGTGTGACTAGAGAAACCAGTTGGTTTGACCAGCCAAAACAATACAGGAGATTCACTCCACTGGGACCCAGAAAAGGCATCCCTTTTTCTGTATTTCCTGTATGTACCTTGATAGATATAAAATATAAGTTCCTAGAGCTTGGGGATTTTCTACTTCTTATTCAACCGTATCTCCAAAGTTTATTGCATAGTATGGCACTAAATACATGTGTATTTCTTTTCTTTCTTTCTTTCTTTCTTTCTTTCTTTCTTTCTTTCTTTTTTTTTTTTTTGATGGCTTAAAATAACAGAAATGTATTCTCTCACAGTTCTTTTTTTTTTTCATTTTAATTTAATTTTTCAATTTCTTTTCAGTGTTCCAGAATTCATTGTTTATGTACCACACCCAGTGTATTTCTTAAAGGACACTGAAAGAAGCTCTTAAACAAAACTGAATTTTGCTAACTTGTTATAGCTTTCAGCATTTGAATGGAAACTGTTTCAATTTAGGAATAAGAAAATACCATACATACCAATGGCGATGAACTATTGTTAAAGATAAGGACAAAAAGAAAAGATGACCCAGAGTATCACTTAAATTTAAGATCAAGTAAGTTCTAGTAACTCTTTTCTGTTTACTCCCTTTTCTTACAGTCTTTGAGATCCTGCTTGAAATTTGGTCTTATTTTCTAGCAAGTTTCTTGTTTGGAATTCTGTGTTCAAAACTGATTCAACTGTGGATATCTACTGTTTTTGGAGATGATGTCTATCACATAAGCCTCAGCGTCTCAATTCTGCACCTCATCTTTTTTATTTGTAAGTCTGAGACCTAAAATGACAGAAAAATGCAAAACAGAGATTTGGGGAAATTGCGTACCAGGCAAAGTTTGTAAAAAAAATAAAAACAAAAACGAATTCAACTTATCTAGGAGGAATATTTTTGTTAAAATAACCTATCAAAAGAGATAAAAATATTAGTTTCTATACAACAGAAATTAATGTCTCAAAATATGTCAAGCAAATAACATTATAAAAGCCAAAAGAATTTGACAAAATCATAATTACAATGAGATACTTGAGCATGCCTTTCCCAGATAATTTCATAAGCAGTTGGACAAAAAATAATGATGGCTATAAAAAGATATAAATAAAAAATAATTGCTTGGCTTACAGAATATAAGGTTTTATTTCCTCAAACAGAAGGCATATCCTTTACACATACCCAAAGACAATTTACAGAAATGAACTAGACTTGAAGAGCATTTTAATAAAATCTGAAACACCGTTCCATAACAATGCATTCACAATTACCTTTAGTGTATTTACTATTTTACTATATTTACTATAATTACATTACTTATACTTGCTATAATGCATTTACTAATTACAAAAGGAAGGTCTTTATTAATCATTCTAGTAGCCTGAAATTAAATATACTTTTCTTGATAAATTTTAGATCAAAAAGGAAATCAAAATAGAAGTTACAGATCAAGACTAAATATTAGAAAAATCTGTTAATGTTAATCCATTTGTCTCCCTCTCCTCCTCACGGAAGTATGGCAGATATTAATGATTCACCCTATTATTGTTCTCTGATACAGCCCCAGAATGTCATTTAACCCAGCTCTTCAAGACAGGCCTGTAAATGACTTGGAGTTAGCATGTGCAGGAAATAATAGCTAGTTACTTAGTTACCAACTTATACAATGTCCTTTCTTTTACAAATAGGAGGGAGCCAATATTGCCTAGTTGCATATCCATGATTTCTCTAAAAGCTTTTGCTAAGGCAATAGAAAGAAAAAGAAAGACAGAAGGAAAGAAAGAAAGGAAGGAAGAGAGGGGAAAGAAGGGAGGAAGGAAGGAAGGAGAGAAATGAATGGATTTATACATAATTTTGAAGGAGAAAATGATTACATTAATGACAGCATTTTTGATTAAATAGAAAATCCAAATGCATTAACTAATAAACCAAGCCCAAAAGGCTTTTTAATAGTTTGATATAAGATAAATATACAAAAAAGGTGTCCTTATAAGCCAGCAATAGCTTGTTAGAAAATATAATAAAAATTTGATTCTCTTTACATTGGGAAAATATTACAAAATATAAAGGAATAAACTGAACAAGAAGTTTGAGCCTAAACACAGAAAACTATAAAAGCTTATGAGAAATACAAGATTTGAATAAATTAAGACAGAGAAAATCTTTTTAGAAATGCTAGAGTAACAAGATTCATTATTTTTGTGTCTGATGAAGGAAAGGCAGAATATAGAATCTTGAGGCTTCCTAACTAATCAGTAGATTAAAGCCAGTTATAATCAAGTGAGTTTACATAATCAAGTTAATGAATTAATAGACATCAAGAGAATGGTCAGTACAGATACATTCATTGCATACTACTTTAATTATGGATACCAAAATTTCTACAAAAAATATATTCTAGCAAATAATATTTCCTCTAACATTATTTAGTAAGTGAATATAGCCCCAAGATTCAGGGCTATTCTTCCCAAAAGAGTTTTAAAGTTTTAGAGTTAAAATGTTTAAAAGAAAACTTCTGAAACAGAATTTCATGAAAATGAGGTACAGGGTAAATATAAATCTAATGTAAAAGGACTTTCACTCTGACCTGGCTTAATGTTTATTTTATTAGTATCTTCAAGGTACTCACCATAAATATTTTCCAAGTTTCAGTACTACCTAATAAATGACTTATGACTTGTCCAGTGCTTGATCTCCTCAAAATGCCTATGTCCTCTACTTTATAATTCAAAATGCCTCTATTTTATGATTCAAAATGCCTCTATTTTATAATTCAAAATTAACTAAACAAAGTGTTAGTTTCTGGCTTAGGTACCATTCCTAGCCAGGATTAAAATAAAGAATATAAAACTTGTAACTTTTCAACTCTGGAAGGGAAGACTCAGTAGTATAAGGATACTAACTTCATAAAATTAAACTATCACAATCTGAATCAAACAATGATAGAAATTGGAGGAAGGGTTAAATTTTACTAAACAATTTAAAATATTATCTGGAAATACTGATTGTGAGAACAGACAAGATAACTTTAAGAAAAGTGAAGAACTTTCTCTATTAGGTAGATATTAAACCTTTAGCAAGTCACCAGTAATTAAAATACAACTGTTGTAACAAAGTACTATAAAGTAAGCCAAAAAATGGAGGGACAAAGAACTGATCCAAATATGCCTGGTAATTGATAAATATGGCAATATGATAAAATTGGCATACCTTAATATTCTTTATTATTAAAACAAAAATTGTAATGCTTGTTAACTAGAAAAATGTCTGCTAAACAATAAGTGAAAAAAGCTCATTACAGAACTCTATTACTGTATAATCTCATTATAGTTGTTTTTTTAAATATGTGACTTTGTGTGCATGAATGTCATATATATGCCATCATGAGTATTGATTGGGTGTTCCACTCCTCTTAAAGATCTTAATCCAATTATCTTAAATTCCCAATTCTATACCATGAGCTCCCAAAGATTTCCTCATGAGTCCTGAAAATTTCTGGAGTTTAGTTCCTCATGATTTCTGCTACTTCTTTTTAAATATACAGAAGTTTTTGGTTCTTTGAAAATTTTACTGAAGATGGGGGCAAAGGGGCTCACAAAGGAAGTTACATTATATAATTCATGTATCTATGAGATCTGATAGCTCCCTTTAATTCTTCACTTTTCCATGTTTCCTGCTTAATTCTCACATCTGTGTCCATTATAGAAATTTAGTATGTATCCTTTAATGCTTAAAGCTGCCCTTTGGATGGAACCAGGAAGAAATAGAAAACCTGAACACACCCATAACCAGTTAGGAGATTGGAACAGTCATCAAAAATCTCCCAACAAACAAGAGCCCAGGGCCAGACGGCTTCCCAGGGGAATTCTAGCAAACATTTAAAGAAGAATTAATACCTATTCTTCTGAAACTGTTCCAAAAAATAGAAATGGAAGGAAAACACCCAAACTCATTTTATGAGACCACCATTACCTTGATTCCCAAACCAGACAAAGATCCCTTCAAAAAGGAGAATTACAGACCAATATCCTTGATGAACACAGATGCAAAAATTCTCACCAAAATACTAGCCAATAGAATCCAACAGTACATTAAAAGGATTATTCACCATGACAAAGTGGGATTTATTCTAGGGTTGCAAGTTTGATTTAACATCCACAAATCAATCAAGGTGGTACAACACATTAGTAAAAGAAAGAACAAGAACCATATGACATTCTCAATAGATGCAGAAAAAGCATTTGACAAAGTATAGCATCATTTCTTGATCAAAACTCTTCACAGTGCAGGGATAGAGGGTACATACCTCAATATCATCAAAGCCATCTATGAAAAACCCACAGCGAATATTATTCTCAATGGAGAATAACAGAGCTTTTCCCCTAAGGTCAGGAACACAGCACAGATATCCACTATCACCACTGCTGTTCAACATAGTACTAGAAGTCCTAGCCTTAGCAATCAGACAATAAAAAGAAATAAAAGATGGCAAAAAAGAAGTCAAACTCTCACTCTTCTTAGAAGCCATGATATTTTATGTGGAAAACCCAAAAGACTCCACTCCAAAACTGCTAGAACTCATACAGGAATTCAGTGAAGTGTCAGGATATAAAATCAATGCACAGAAATCAGTTGCATTTCTATACACGAACAGCAAGACAGAAGAAAGAGAAATTAAGGAGTCTACCCCATTTACAATTGCTTCCAAAACCACAAGATACCTATGAATAAACTAACCAAAGAGGGAAAGAGTCAGTACTCAGAAAACTATAAAGTACTCATGAAAGAAATTGAGAAAGACACAAAGAAATGGAAAAATGCTCATGGACTGGAAGAACAAATATTGTGAAAATGTCTATGCTGCCTAAAGCAGTGTTCCATGCTCATGGACTGGAAGAACAAATATTGTGAAAATGTCTATGCTGCCTAAAGCAGTGTACACATTTGACAAAATCCCTATCAAAATACCATCTATTTTTTTCAAAGAAATGCAACAAATAATCCTAAAATTTATATGGAACCAGAAAAGACCCTGAATACTTAGAGGAATATTGAAAAGGAACCAAAGTCGGTGGCATCACAATTCCAGACTTCAAGCTCTATTACAAAGCTGTCATCATCAAGACAGCTTGGTACTGGCACAAAAACAGACACATGGATCAATGGAACAAAATAGAGAGCCCGGAAATGGCCCCTCAACTCTATGGTCAACTAATCTTTGACAAAGCAGGAAAGAATGTCCAGTGGAAAAAAGACAGTCTCTTCAACAAATGGTGTTGGGAAGATTGGACAGCCACATGCAGAAGAATCAAACTGGACAATTTCCTTACACCACACACAAAAATACACTCAAAATGGATGAAAGACCTCAATGTGAGACAGGAATCCATCAAAATCCTTGAGGAGAGCACAGGCAGCAACCTCTTTGACCTCAGCTATAGCAACTTCTTCCTAGAAACATCACCAAAGGCAAGGGAAGCAAGGGCAAAAGTGAGCTATTGGGATTTCATCAAGATCAAAGGAAAGCACAGCAAAGGAAACAGTCAACAAAACCAAAAGACAACTGACAGAATGGGAGAAGATATTTGCAAACAACATATCAGATAAAGGGCTAGTATCCAAAATCTATAAAGAGCTTAGCAAATTCAACACTCAAAGAACAAATAATCCAATCAAGAAATGGGCAGAAGACATGAACAGACATTTCTGCAAAGAAGACATCCAGATGGCCAACAAATACATGAAAAAGTGCTCCACATCACTCAGCATCAAGGAAATACAAATGAAAACCACAGTGAGATACCACCTCACACCAGTCAGAATGGCTAAAATTAGTAAGTCAGGTAATGGCAGATGTTGGGAAGGATGTGGAGAGAGAGGAACCCTCCTACACTGCTGGCGGGAATGCAAGCTGGTGCAGCCACTCTGGAAAACAGTATGGAGGTTCCTCAAAAAGTTGAAAATAGAGCTACCCTACTACCCAGCAATTGCACTACTGGGTGTTTGCCCTAAAGATACAAATGTAGTGATCCAAAGAGACAAGTGCACCCGAATGTTTATAGCAGTAATGTCCACAGTAGCCAAACTATGGAAAGAACCTAGATGTCCATCAACAGATGAATGGATAAAGAAGATGTGGTATACATATACAATGGAATACTATGCAGCCATCAAAAGAAACAAAATCTTGCTATTTGCAACAATGTAGATGGAACTAGAGGGTATTATGCTAAGCAAAATAAGTCAATCAGAGAAAGACAATTATATGATCTCTTTGATATGAGGAGTTTGAGAGGCAGAATAGAGGGGCCGTGGGGGGAAGGGAGGGAAAAAATGAAACATAATGGGACTAGGGAGAGAGAAAAACCATAAGAGACTCTTAATCTCAGGAAACAAACTAAGGGTTGCTGGGGGGTGAGGGGTTAGGGATAGGGTGGTTAGGTTATGGACATTGGAAAAGGCTGTGGTGAGTGCTATGAAATGCATATGTCTGATGACTCACGGACCTGTACTCCTGGGGCAAATAATACATTATATGTTAAATAAATAAATAAATAAAATATAACTTTAAAAAAAAGCTGCCCTTTGGATCTCATTCTCTGTTCTCAACTAACTTATTAACTTATTTCTTCTAAACAAAAATAGTCCTCTCCATTTTAGAGATACTAATGCAAATTTTCTTTAAAATTATAATTATCTTCCTTGACTTACAATGGAGTTATATCTCAATACACCACTGTAAGTTGAAAAGATCATTAAGTCAAAAATGCATTTAGTAGGGGCGCCTGGGTGCTCAGTGGGTTAAGCCTCTGCCTTCGGCTCAGGTCATGAACTCAGGGTCCTGGAATCGAGGCCCACATCGGGCTATGTGCTCAGTGGGGAGCCTGCTTCTCCCGCTCTCTCTGCCTGCCTCTCTGCCTACTTGTGATCTCTCTCTGTCAAATAAATAAATAAATTTTTTTAAAAATCTTAAAAAAAATGCATTTAGTACACCTCACCTACCAAACATCATAGCTTAGCCCAGTCTACCTTAAACATGCTCAGAATACTTGCATTAGCCCGCAGGTGGGCAAATTATGTCACACAAAGCCTATTTTATGAAAAGGTTGGATATCTCGTGTAATTTAGTGAGTGCTGTACTGAAAGTGAAAAGCTGAATGGGTCGTGTGGGTGCAGATTGGCTCTAAGTGTACAGTTGTTGACTCTCACGATGGCCTGGCTGACTGGAACCTGTGGCGCGCTGCCACTGCCCAGCATCATGAGAGAGGCTCTTAGTACAAATTGCTAGCCTGAGAAAAGATCAATACTCAAAATTGGAAGTATTGTATCTACCGGATGCACACTGCTTTTGCACTATTGTAAAGCTGAAAAGTCACAAGTCGAAACTTTGTAAATTGGGGATGGTCTGTACTTGAAGTCCTGGTAGTTGAATTATGGATCCTCTTTTTTTAGTTGCTATGCTGTACCATATGCTGTACCATATTATTTGAATTTTTATAGTGGTAATATACTACCTTCATAAGCAAGGGGTAATATAATTCTAATACCACTACTTTTAAGAATATTCCAATTTTTTATGCTTTTCAGTCCAGCACAGTAAATGTGCCAAAACAATATTAAGCTGGGGAACTATATCCATATGAGGTTTCTACTGGGTCGACTCCCTTAGTCCTACCACAAAATCAAATCATTTCTATCTCCCGTTGTCTCCTAAGAAGAAAGCATATGAAGTGGGCTCGTTCATAAAGAACTCACTGGCTCACTTCCATTTCATTCCTCCAGATCCCCTCTGAAAAGATTAGACCCGTAGAGGGTGCTCAAGCCAGAGTGGGGCACATGAGAAATTTTGTGAGCTTCATATTGTTGGCAGTGATCTGAAGCCAAAGCAGTGCAAGAAGATTCAGTATAGACTTGACATCACAGTTGGGTGGGGATCTGAGAAGGAAGAGGACGAGGTGGTGGTAACAATCTGTAATATAATCCAGTTGAAACCAAGTAGGTCAGCCTCTCTATAAAGTTATCATACTATCGAGATATCCAATATTTTCATCTTGGGCAAAATTTGTGCCACTGTTGATGTTAAATTAATACTTTATATTTATTTTTTTTAAAAATAGGTGAGCTAGTTGGAATGTCTGGAATATTTACCCTGGCCATTATGGGACTTTTTTTGAATTCTACAAGTTTTAAACCAGGAGTTGAAGCGCTTCTTCTCGAGTGAGTAGATGGTATATTTTCATTTTGTTTCATGCATTAGAAGCTATAATATTGTAATAGCAACTCTATCTACATCTACATTAGTCAAAGTAAGATACGGACTCCAAAACTACCTGACTAAAAACCTTTACTAAAAATTCTATTTGCCTGTGTTTTCTAATCCTCTAATTTTGGGCAAAATTTGTAACCTTACCTTGAGCTCATGTTAGCTCTGTTTTCCTACTAATTCTCTCAAGTGTCTGACAGTCTACTCAGTAATTTCTAGTAAAATTTACTAGACAGGGCCAGGATTAAGGTAAGGCATTCCAGCATAAAATTTAAAAAGGTGCCAAAAAACTCAGTAATGAAGATAAATAATATTTTAGTGCAATATTTTTTTGAAAATTGGAATTAATGCAAAAAATCCATGTTTGTGAAAATACAAAACTTTTAAATTAAGATGGAAGCAATATTACTGATTAATTCCTTTTGCCTCAGGCTCCAACAAGGCTCAGCATGGTATTACTACTAGAACAGAAACCCAGTATTTTAAGGTCAATGAAGAGATAGCCTGCAAAGCAAATTAAAAGATTAAGCTAGAGCATCTGAAAAGGATTGGCCATGGTATAAAAGAAAATATGGCCAAATGTACAAATGTATCAACTGTGCCCTGCTCAAGGGCATCCGGTTTAGGGGTGATTGGAATTTGCACCAGTGTAGAAGAAGGGTGCTGCTTTTTGTGATGCTCCAACATATAGGCTGAGAACTTGACCTAAATCACACAATGGCAACATATGTTAACAGAGACTCTGAACATAATCAGTGATTTTAGAGTTTTGGAGAACAATATAGAAAATAGAATGAGTTTGAAAGTAAAGAACCTTATAGAATTTTGAAGCACCTACTAACACTTCGTGTCAATTACAATGAAAGCTAATTGTACCAGCAGCTAGGCAGAATTACTTGCCACAATTAATTGCTGGAGGAAGAATTAAAAATATTATGTGTTTCAACTCTGCCTTTGGGAAATGATTCCGAAGACTCCTTTCACCTTTCTGCTCTACCTGCAACCTGGGTCTCCCGTGAAGACATTACTTCGCTTGCATTCCTTAAAAGTTGTGTTTTTCTCCCTCACATCCCTGGTACTACTGAGCCTAGAGTTGTGGTAGGTGATCTCTCTGTATCTCAAAGTCATTTCTAGGTCATTCTTTATCATTTTTCCCTAGAAAAACCAAGTTTTGAAGCTCATGCCATCAGATTACACCATCTGCCACCCTCTTGGTTGAGTTATGTCTAGAGCCCCGAATCACACTCTCCATTTCATGAAGATGTTGGCCCCCCTCTCACTGTGGCTGTCTGCAGCACCATTTCTCTATCACTATTCCTAGTGATGTCAATCAGTATCCACGCAGTCAATCCTTCTACTCCACCTTTCAGCTCCTGGACTTCCTCTCCTCCTATGGGCATGTTTCCCACCTTGCTTAAGCCACCCACTAAATGACCACTTCATAATCTCAATTTCAAGAATCTTATTGTCTTAAAACACGACATGCATCAGCTCCTACTCTCCAAGATGGTAGAAATCTAGGATAACAAAGGTAAATCCGCCTGAAGCGTACAGTAATCTGCAACAGGTCCTTGCTACTCTCTCAGAGAAGAAGTCCATCATCTCCCGTGTTTTAGGCTTACAGCCTCTGGGACCCCGATTCGAACAATTCTGCAATCACGCGGAGAAGACACAGAGTCAATCCCATGATCTTTTACGGATCCTCACTGGCCTCACTTCCTCCTTACCCAGATCATTTCTTTTGTTTAAAACTGTCTGATAACTTCTATTCTGGCTACAGGTCAAAGCTGTTTTAATGGCAAACAAACAGAGACCAATGTCCCCCTCATTTCCACCACTCACACCCTCACTGAACTCACCCTAGCCACTCTGATCACTCTGCTGTTCCTCAGATGTGCCCAACGTGCTATTTGTGTTGCTTCTGTCCTTGAGTTTCTGTTCCTGAAATGCGCTTCCCCTGTATGCTGGCAGAGTGGATGCCCTACTTCTTTCATGCTTCCATTTATACATCACCTTCCTAGAAAGAAATTCCCAAAATAGAAACTACTTCCTTGCCAGGCTGCAGGATTTTTTATTCCTGACAAGTTGACACCCCAACAACATTCTGTCCATAAGGGAATGTCATTTCTGTAGGCTAGTGGCTGTCCAATGTCAGGCAATAAACATAATACAGTTGTCTGGATCTGTTGAACCAAAATCATGACTGCATCAGACATCTAGTTTTTTTTTTTAATTTTTCTAAAATTCTCCCCTCATGACACTTAGATACAGACAGGGTTGTGACCCTTTGCTACATAAAAGATATACAAAAACACTACACATGTAAAAATACACAACAGTATTAGGATACTCATATCATCAAATAAAAGAGAAATTCTTTTCTTTTTTTTTAAGTCAGAAACACTTTTCAATGTGCCTGAATTGTTACAAACACACACGTGCACACACCCATGCACAAGGTCATGCATAAGTCCATGAGATGGGTTGGAGTTTGGTTGTTCAGTTCAAGCCTACTTTGAATTTGATAGACTGGTTCCTTAAAGAATCTGGTTTCCTCCTAATCAGGTTTCTCCCATTAGTTTCTACCACATATGAAAGGGTCTTGACAGCTCCTCTATATTTGTTGCTTAGTTGATTTGATTGCATTTTATGCTCACTTAATGAGACCGTTATATTCGGTATTCAGCAGCATTTTTTCCACAATGTTAGGAAAATTTTTCAATTATGCACTGGTTAAATGAGAAGAAAAGTATGATAGTAGTTCATATTCACCACTCACTTGACTGAATTATCCTACTCCATTAATGTTCACAAAGGATTTCATTAATTGTATGGGTAGGGGGGTATAATGCTTTGAGGGATTTTATTTTATTTTATTTCATTTTATTTTATTTTCTTGGTGCCTATGCACATGGTGCAACAATTGGATTTGCTTTTGATAGTGAAGTCAAAAGAAGGATAAAAAAACACAAAAATTACATAATCATCATAAAATATATCTTCGTGTGTTTCCCTCTGAGTTAACATTGGATGCAGCATTTGAATCCAGAAGCTAACAGAATTAAAAGCATGGCCATGCATATGTAAGAAAGGGATGACAATTCATAGCCTACAGTAATTAGCCTTAGTGTGGTCACATAAACACTATTTTGAAGTATTTGACTTAATATTTCTTAGGCTAGAATGTTTTATATGCAGTGTTTGCCTGATAAGGCCTAGGTATTTGTGCCTCTTAAATACTGCTTGGAACTGAAAATTTGTATTACTGCAATAGAGAGTTATTTTTAGTATTGGATCTGGTATTTGGCAAGTCCATTTTTCTGGAGAAGGGACAATCATTCTTTTTAAGGGTTTCAGGGACTGAAAACCCTTCAGCATACGGTTAAACCAAGCCACCGTCATCTCATGAAAGTGGTATTTGTGTGCCCTTTTAATCTTGTCAATTTATTTTGTTATTAATATAATATGGTGACATTCGCAGGAAATATATAGGAAGATAATAAAAAGTAAATTTTAAAAATAGCCTCCTATGGTCCCAACACCAAAACATGACAAATACTGGTAACTGAGTGTCCTTTACCAAACTGCTTTGCCTGTAGCAGATGAGAACATGCACTTCAGAGTGATGTAGAGTTTTCCTGGGCTCTTAGGCACTTTAAAATGTACATACGCTCACAAATCCCAAAAGGAGAAATATACAGAGGGCATTCATTTGAACAAAGGATTAATTCACATCTTCTAAGTGCTCACTAGATTTTAGGGTAAGCCTTAATTCTATCACTATATAAAGCATATTAGCAGTTTTCAGTATTCCTTTTGAAGATAATTTTAGCTCTTCCTAATGATACAAGGAGTTCACAACCGGGATTTTCAAGCCACATGAACCACGATGCCTGAATGAACCAAAACATGTTTTCAGAATCAATCCCAAAAGAAAGACACTAATTTATATGTAGTTGCTTTAGAATTATGTGTTTACTTGCCTTACTGCTCCTTTCTCCCAGTTAAATTATAAGCCCTTTGAGTATAGGTAAATGCCTTATTCATCTTTATTTTCTTGATTAGGCCTAGCACAATGTTTCACATGAATAAGCCTTGTGATAAATGTGTTAGATTACTTACCTGTAATTAACTACATTCAGCTTTTTTCTGAAAATGCAGATTCTGGAATTGTTTATCATTTGTTGCTTCGCTTATGGTGTTTACCTTCATTGGACTTCTAATTCCTGCACATACGTATTTATACATATCATTTTCTGACATATATTATTCATTAAATATCTATTTCACACTTATTGTTTTAAGGTAAGAATGTCATTTGAATTTTTCTATTTATAGGACACTGAGTAAGCCCAAAGATACTTTTTTAAATAAAAATGTGTCATTCCTTAGAATGAAAATGAAGAATTCCCTCTTAAACTTGCCAAAGAATCATTAGCAAATTACTGTTTTAGTGGGGCTTTTTCGTTCAACTTCGAACTGCATGTCAAAGTAATCCAAGAACTCTATAAATTTTTTTTTAATTAGAAGAAAAAAAAATCTTTCATAATTTTACTACCCAGGGGAAACTGCTGTTAACATTTGGTATGTTTTGTCCAGTGTTATTTTTTCCTATGAGGTTTCATAAAGTTCAGCATCAATCATAAATAAAAATATTATGTTGCTTTTGTTTGCCTAATATTGTACAACAAATAATTTCCTTCTGATTAAGTTATAGTTACAAATAGATTTTTAAAAATCATTAGAAAGTCCTCTTTGTAAATGTCCTTTTTGCTTAAATAATTTTTGTAGTCCCCTTTTCAGTGGTAAAAGGCAGGAAAGAGTCTGCCCATGTTAGTGAAAAGGATGTGATATAGAGGAGGAAAAACCACCATGACTACACTCTCCAGGTTGTATCCCTTGTGTTGCTAGCATTCTGCCTCCATCTAGGAAAACTAATTAGGAGTCGACAACAGTTGGCTAGTGCCAACTGAATGGAAATTACTACCAAATTATCAGATACAATTAGTGTGAAATGTAGGAGATATGTGATTAAAAGAAAAACTAGAAAGAAATCTGCCAGTATTGGATAAATTCAGCAAGGTTAAAAATCTACAAAAAACAAAGAAAGGGAAGACATTTTCCCCCTTCAGTTCTTATTCATTAGACTTTTTTTATTTTGGGGGGAGTGGGGAGGATCCAGGATAGAATAGATCCACAAAACATCTCTAACTTTTTCTTTTCTACCCCAAGAAATGTGGAATTACCCTACTACAAACTTCATAGAAAGAAGCAAAAAGAATAATGCCATCCTCTTGTCCTCTCTCTCAGTGAAATGCCCTTCTGCCTTTTTTTTGGTGCCATGGTGTGTGAAAAGATGGTTCCTTTGTCTGAGAGTCGGCCATTCCACAGGGAATAGATTGGAATAGAGTAGAATGAAATGAAAAAAAAAAAAAGTCTATGGCAAGAATAACTTTTCAAAATCTCTTTTGTGTTTTAGACTTCTGGTTTTTCTAATAATGAGCCCTGTTTTGTCTCGACTTGGTCATGGGTTCAGCTGGCGCTGGGCATTCATAATGGTCTGGAGTGAAATGAAAGGAATGCCTAATATAAACATGGCTCTTCTGCTTGCCTACTCTGACCTTTCTCTTGGCTCTGAGAGGGAACAATCTCAAGTAAAGATAAATGAATTTTTTTATTTGAGCATTTTACAAATACTGTTTCTGTGTACTAAAATACATTTTTGTGTATTGGTAGCTCAATCCCACTTGGATGACGGGAGTGGTTTAGCTGTGCTGGCAAGATTGGGGAGAGGAAAAACAACTGGCAACTTTCCTCTTCCTGGGGAACATTCTGGCTTAGGGATTCCCTGAACACTTTCCTTAACATTTCCTTAACATGTTTTTCATTACAAGAGCAATAAAAGCTATAAAATAAGATAAGAGAGGTAAACACATCTGTCCCTACTCTTACCCTTCTAGCACCTGATTGGATGATTTGGGTTTATCTTCTCATTCAATTTTTTTTTCTTTAAGATTTTATGTATTTATTTAAAAGAGAAAGAAAGAGCATGAGTGAGAGAGCACAAGCAAGGGGAGCAGAAGCAGGGGGAGTGGCAGAGGGAAAGTGAGAAGCAAACTCCCCACTGAGCAAGGAGCCTGATGCGGGACTCCATTCCAGGACCCTGGGATCATGACCTGAGCCAAAGGCAGACACTTAGCCATCTGAGCCACCCACGCACCCCTTTTCATTACACCTTTAAAATGAGTTTATTATGGGGACACCTGGGTGGCTCAGATGGCTAAGCATCTGCCTTCGGCTCAGGGCATGATCCCAGGGTCCTGGAATGGAGCCCCACGGCTGTGTCAGGCTCCTTGCTCAGCTGGGAGCCTGCTTCTCCTTCTGCCTGTGCTTCTGCTCTCCGTGCTTGTGTGTGCTCACTTTCTCTGTTTCTCCCCCTGCCAAATAAATAAATACAATCTTAAAAAAAAAAAGTTAAAGGAGTTAAAACTTATAAATAATTTTAAAATAGTACCTGATAAGGGTGCCTGAGTGGCTTGATCAGTTATGCCTCCAAATCTAAATGGTTTTGGCTCACATCATGATCATGAGATAGAACCCTACATTGCACTCCAGATTCTCTCTCTCCCTCTCCCTCCGTCCTTTCCCCCGTCAAATAAATAAATGAATAAATATTTTATTTTTTTTAAGATTTATTTATTTATTTATTTGACAGACAGATCAAAGTAGACAGAGAGGCAGGCAGAGAGAGACAGGAGGAGGAGACAGGCTCCCTGCCGAGCAGAGAGGCCGACACGGGACTCGATCCCAGGACCCTGAGATCATGACCCAAGCCGAAGGCAGAGGCTTTAACCACTGAGCCACCCAGGCGCCCCATGAATAAATATTTTAAAAAATAGTACCTGATACAGAATATGTACTCAATAAGTGTATTTATTTTTACTTACTGCTAATAGCCACTCGAGAAAAATAGAAACCTGCTTATGATTGACCTCATTGACTTTCACATTACTAAATGTGAGGCCACATTTAGTAATGCTAGGAACCAGAATATTTTAATGGTCTAGTGAAGTTACCTCTTCATTAATTACTAGCCCCAAATTCTGCCCAACAGAACATAAAAGGCATGATTCTCCCTCTACCTCGTTTCCAGGTAAGAACATTACAAGGACCTCTATAAGAAATTTCCTGTGAAGATATCAAGATGCATCTAACACTTCCGTTGCAGGTTTTTTTTTTTAAACACATAAATTCCAAATGTAAAGGGAAAAGCAGCAAGGGAATTATTGCCTGTCTAATTAGATAATATCCCAAACATTAAAACATTAAACATTCAAACACTGCTTTTGAAAGCGAGATTATCTGGGGCTCCTGGGTGTCTCAGTCATTAAGCATCTGCCTTCCTCTCTGGTCACAATCCCAGAGTCCTGAGATTGACCCGCATATTGGGCTCCCTGCTCTACCAGAAGCCTGCTTCTCTCTTTCCTACTCCCCATGCTTGTATTCCCTCTCTCGCTGTCTCTCTCTCTTTCTCTATCAAATAAATAAAATCTTTTTTTAAAACCCACAGAATTATCTAACATTACATGATCTCCCCCCTCTTTTTAACTATCTCCACATGCCTGAATAATCAAGGTCAATTCGGCACCACACATCCTGACCCGTGTAATGGTAGACATTGCACATGGATCTGGATTCTGAAGTTTCTAGTTGGCTGCTATCTGCTGTGTGGCCATCAGTGAGTTAATTAATACCCACCTCAAGGCACATGTCAGTTTCCTCATTCCAAAAGGGACTTAATAATACCGATGGTGTGTTAGCAAATGTTAACAAGTAACTCTCTTAGGGGTCAGAGGGAGCCCTAAATAATAATATTTGCCACTTTCCATTGTGTAATCACTCTAACAGAACAACAATCAACTCCATAACTTCCTGAAAATTTAACATCAGCTCTCACGAACTGGAAAAGTCAGCTCCAGCACACCACTATCTCAAAGGGTTATTTGAGAAATTGAAAATGTACATAAAATGCTCAACACATGGTTTAACGTATTGTAAATGTACAACAAATATGAGCTGTAATGACATGATAGTGATGCCACGTAGACCCAATATGAGATAAAACCCTAGTAAACAAAATCCTGTAGTAAGATGCTCTCACTAGTAGCAACTAGTTGAGAAGAAAGTCACACTTCTTTCTTAATTTAATTTAGCTGAACCCTCCAGCTCACTTTTTAATACTCATGAAGCAGCACTCCAGGAAAGGGTTAAAAATAACTTAGTCTTGAGTCTTGTCCCTATTAGGACTCACAAAGGCCAACGACCTTGTGTAAGTAACAGTGCCTGAGTTTGTCTCCTGTGTAATTGGACAATACTGGTATATACTTCATAGAATGGTAGTGAGGATTAAATAAGTTTGATATATTGTGCCCTATGCTTACTATATAGACGTTAGCTCATATTTCTATTGAAATAAAATAAGGAGGAATATTTTATTTCTATTGAAATAAAATAAGTTGAGGACCTTAGAGGTCCTCAACTTTGGGAATGTGTGTTAGAATGCTTCAGGAAGCTTTAGCAAATTACTGATGCTTGTGGAATTCTGGCTCTGGCCATAATGAATAATGGATGTCAGATCTTTTTCCTATATTAAACTGGATATATATAGCTATTAAACTGGTTAAATATATGAAGCACCCAATATATGAAGGCCCAAGAAGTACAGCAATGGAATTTAGGGACAAGCATTTTTTTCCCCCAATGTCTCTGTAAGTACATGTTTACTTGTCAAACCATATGTCCTGCCTGAGTCTTGATTTGGTTCCAAAAACATGGATAAAATACATGCAGGGAGACAGAGAATCCCCAGAGTACTTTCATCATGCCTGACATTCAAATTCTTTCCCTACTATGAGCATTTATTGACCTAGTACAATCTAGTTTAATTTTAATTGGTAAATATAGAATACATTACAAGAAATTATCATGAATATTTACTTTGTATTTTTCTTTCTATTCTAGGTATTATTTCATGGAGTGTCAGTATGCTTAATTACCTTGGTTGTCAATAGATTTATTCTGCCAATGGCAGTCAGTAAACTAGGTAAGCCCTAGTAATTACTAATTACTAGGTAAACTCTACTAATTACTAAGTAACCCCTTGTAATTACTATTAGTGAAGAGATAAACATTCTAAAAATGCTAAAGAATTGCTATTAATGAGGAAAGAAGCCACATAAATGAAAATCAGGTGTCTAATTGAGGAAGAAATTGGCTCTCTATATAAAAGCATATGAACAGGGGGTCCTGGGTAGCTCTGTTGGTTAAGCATCTGCCTTTGGCTCAGGTCATGATCCCAGGGTCCTGGGACAGAGCTCTGCATTGGGATCCATGCTCGGTCGGGAGTGAGCTTCTCCCCCTCCTCCCCGCTTGTGCTCTCTCTCTCTCACTATCTCTGTCTCTCTCAAATAAACAAGTAAAACAAATGTTTTAAAAAAGCATATAAACAGACTAGGCCAATAAGCTAATAAATTTTAAAAAGATTACTTATTTGCATTAGTCTAGTTTAAATAAAATAATACAATAAGTTTATTCAATTATTCAACAAACTTTTATTGAAAACTTTTATATGCCAGGCACTATTCTAACTGATAATGATGCACTATGAAGACAGACAGGATTTCTGTGTCAATGGAGCTTACACTGGAGAAAAGAGAAACAGACAGCAAGTCAAATGAGGCAGGACCAGAGAGTCACATGCACAACAATGTAAACAAATTACACATACATAAGATAGAAAATACAATGGGTGCTAGGTTCCTGAGGAAGCTAGAAGCTGAGTATATTCAAGGAAAGAGGGTTTGACCCTTTGAGAACAAGCAGATAGTGGAGAATGTCCAGATGGGAGAGGTAGGAAGGGGTTAAGTAATGAAGGGCCTCGGATTTTAAGTTTTTATTGTAAGGGCAAGAGGAATTCCTTGGCCAGTTTTAAGCAAGTGTAATTGTATGTTAACTCTAGTTCTGTGGATAAATGATTGAAGAGCAGAGAAGCAAAAATAGCAGTTGTAGGAGACAATTGCATTAAGTGATTATGCCTGTTTTCATCTTCTATTTTTAAATTATTTATTTCTTTAAATTTTCTTAACATATAATGTATTGTTTGCTTCAGGGGTACAGGTCTGTGAATCACCAGTCCTGCACACTTCACAGCGCTCACCATAGCACATACCCTCCCCAATGTCCATCACCCAGCCACCCCATTTCTCTTACCAGCCTCCCCTCCAGCAACCCTCATCGTCTATTTTTTAACAAGGGAAGAGTGGAGATCTAGAGAGGTAAAAGTTCCTGCCCAAAGTCATGCAACAAGATAACAGCAACTGAGGAACTAGAAACAAGCAGCCCTGATGCTTTCAATCCATTATACTCCCAACTGCTCTAATCGCCCATTCCGTTACACAGAGCTTTCACCTTAATGCCATTTGTAATCAGTCTGAGACCCCATCTTTACTGATGGCATCGCATTACCTAATCTGCCTGCCTGCCTTGTATTTGCAACCAAAACCTTTTTTCTTTTTAAAATTCTCTGAGCCTTAACATAGTAAATTGGGAAAACAAGATCAAAGAGGGGAAGTTTTGGCAAAGAGTATCACATGTTCTACTTAATAGCTAAATAAACTTAAAATTCTTACTGAGGAGCACCTATTTATTTGCACTGAGAGCAGTGAACATTTGCTCATGGAACATTATTGCTTTCCAAGGAAGCTTCTGTGGCTCATTAAAAGGACTTTGTATCTGATAGGAAGAGTCCTTCAAACCTTAATGAGGTCTGAAGACAAACATATATCATATACACTTATCATATACACTTATCATATATATATATATGATATTACATTTAGGTAGTATATATGTATATATCTATATTATATGTATGTGTACATGTATATATGTACATATCTATATTGATGCCTCCTACATATGTATCTCCTGCATATTTGTATATCTACCTATATTCTGTGTTTTTGTAAATATGTACATATATATGGGATACGTATGTACATATATATGGGATATGTATATGGGATATGGATGTATATGTAGGTAGTATAGATATACATATACACAGATACATATCTCCCACATGTATATCTCCTACATATATATCCCCTATATATGTACGTGTCATCTATTCTGTGTGCATATATATATATGATATTATTATAGGAAATTGGTTTGCATGGTCTTGGAAGCTGAGAAGTCCCAATATCTGTAGTCCAAAGGTCTGAGAACCAGGAAAGCCAATTAGTTTAAGTTCCTGTCCAAATGCAAAGGCAGGAGAGGACTGCTATCCCAAATCAAAGACTGTGAGGCAGAGTGAATTTTCTTTTGTTCTATTCAGGACTCCAATGGTTTAGATGAGGCTTGCCGGCAGTGAGGAGGGCAATCTGCTTTACCCATTCTACAATTTAAATGCTATTCTATCCAGAAACACCTTCACAGACACACCTAGAATAATATTACCAAATATCTGAGTATCCTTATCCCAGTCAAGATGACACATAAAAATAATCATTACACCTCTGTTCTTCTGTCTTCTCATCTAACAAACTGGGAAAAGGGACTTTTAAAAGATAGGTAAGGTAATCAAAGACTTAATACATTCAATGAACTATGAAGTGTTTTCTTAGCATATAGTAAGCTCTCAATAAATATTAACTATTACTGTTATTATTATGTACCTCAGCTTTTTTAAGGAGTGTGAAAGTCAAAAAGCTTGAAATTGTTCATGTTTCCATCATTAAACAATTTATGTTGAGTTTAACTTAAATAAAAAATAGTTGGTGGCAGTAGGAACAAAAGGAAACTATACAATCCATATCAAAATGGTGGTATCGCTATTATTGATAAAACATACTCTTCATACCAAAGGTCTTCGTGATGTCACATCAACAAAATATAAATCACTTTATTGTACATTTCAACACTTTCAAGAGCTAACCAAATCTGCAGCCTCTGCACTCAAATTTGACAAAGATCTTGCTAATGCGGATTGGAATATGGTTGAAAAGGCAATTATATTTCAAAATCCATATGCGGTAAGCAAGTCATACCTTTTGTTTACTCCTTCAAAGTAGATATCATTACCTTAAGTCTTAATTTTATTGTTACCTGTAATTGACAGAGAGGTTGTATTGGTAACCCACTGTCATAATAGTAAGAAGGGAATCTTAGTGTTGTAAATTCAAAAGAAGTAACAGTGCTTTGGAGCTCCCTAGGAAAGATGACATAAAGGCGGAGAGTGAGCCAGAGAAAATGGCTAGTGTTTTATTAGATGGACAATGGACAGGTGCCCTTGTTCAGCATTTATTTAACATTTGTTTACACTACTATATATGCCAATTACTTGCTAGCCCTCATGATTAATATTATTTTTTGATATCAAATAGCATTCAAAGCCAGTATCATTAGGCTTTAGGTGTGGGTGAGATGTCACCTCCTGCTTCTAAGATAGGCTTTAGAATCTCTGTTGTCAGACTTCTTAATCATTGAAGGGTATGTAACTCCCCAGTCAGTCATGGTTGCCATAAGGAGAAATAATAAAAGTTGTTCTGGAATCTTCTCGGTGCTACTGCTGCTGCTTTGCTATCTCCTATGTTACATACAGTTTTCAATGCAGTGTTTCAATGCATACTGTATGATGCAGTTGTTGCAGTGTTTTGCTGAGTCTTACAATATGAGGAGCCAACTTCTAGGATTGTAGACATAAGATAATTGGTTTCTATAAAGTAGGATTCCGCAAAATCCATTACATATCCACTAAGCAGTGCTGGAAGCGCCCCCTAGGGACCAAGCCCTCTGCCTGTAGGAATACTGCCGGGATTTCTGGATATTACAAGTACCAAGTCAAATCCAATTATTTCTATAGTAGCTCCCAATTTCTGGTTGTGGACTTTTACTAATCTGATTGCATGAGACTCTTCTAAAAAGCTTATTAAAATACGGCTTTATTTCCCAGCCCCACTCAGGAGATTCTAATAATCCAGATGGTCTGAGGTGGGTTGCAGGAATATGTGTTTTCATTCCATTTACCCAGCTGAATCTAGTGCAAAGTCAAGGCTGAGGCCCCCACTCTGATACTTGGTCCGTTTCAGAAGGCAGAGGATCAAACATGGGGGATATTATGGTGTTATGGATAGAGCACTGGCCTTGGACTCAGAAAATCTGGGTTCATAACCTGGCTTTCTCACTTAATAAATAGCTTTGTGATCTTGAGCAATTCTTCTATTTTCTCTGAGCTTCAGCTTTTCTCTGCTGTAAAATGAAGTTATCCATAATCCCCATCTCCCAATGCTAAGTTCATTTTCTACTCTACCTTAAGTGATTAGGTTAAGGCAGTGATTGTCAAACTTTAGCAGCAGCAGGAATCATGGAATGCTTTGTAAAAACACAGATTGCTGCCCTTTTCCCCAGACTTCCTGATTTAGCAGGTCGGCAATGGGCTCTGGGAATGTGCATTTCCAACAATTTCCACGTGACGCTGAGGCTGCTCAGAGTCCACACTTTCAGAACCATTGGTTTAAAATGGGATCATATATACGGTAGCTTTTATAAAATGTCAATAATGCCATGTAAATGTAAAAACAGGATATATCGTCTTTCCTCCAAAAGTGGCAATTATTTTACTTTCTAGATAACTGTGAAATGATGAGGAAACTCATCTGAGCTCTTCTATATTTAACAGGTTTTCTGTAATTTTTCGAACAAATTTTTAGGTGAATTGTTTGAGGGTTATGCTAAACAATATCTTAATATTCATGTATTTGGGTTTTTTTGTTTTTATTTCTGTTTCACTTAGTTGAACCAAGGAGAACAAACAGAACATCAAAAGGTGACGTGTCCAAACTGTAACAAGGAGATAGACGAGACCCTTAACATTGAAGCAACGGAGCTGGCCAACAGGCGTCTCTTGTCTGCACAAATAGTTAGTACTTGATCATACACTTTCAAAATGATATTTGGGCCTAAAATTATCCTGAAAACTTTGTCCTTCGCTAAAGACATCTGGTTTGGTTTTGTTTTATTTTGTTTTGTCTTGTTTTTTAAGCCATCTTGATTATGCTTACCTGCATAGCTTAAGAGATTGTTACAAAGGCAAAGGAAAGTTTGGCACTATCTTAGGAATCCATTTGACTGCCAAAGGAAAGAAAAGGGAAATAGATCCATCCAAATTAGCCTAAGTAAAAGGTGATTTATTAAGAGGATTTGGGAATTTCACAGACCCCCAAGGCAGGAATTACAGGGGAACTGAATATTCAGGTGTGTTATGCAACCATTTCCACACCACCCATCTCTGGCTCTATGCCAGTTTTTCAGGAACGATACCAATTCTGCTAATAGCTTTAGGTAGAGAGTAGTTTTCAGATCAAATCTTGGATAAAGGTTAGAGAAATTCGTGGCACAGCAGCATCCTACACTCTGTGGAAAACTGCTAATAGGCTGGTTACCATTTACTATCCAGGTCAGGATCTTAACTCCTTGCCATGACTCATGCTCTCAAAATGTTCATGGTGGGCCTTCCTCACTGCCTATGGACTCTCATGCATGTCTCAGCTATTCCAGCCATACAGAATTCCAAGCATTCTACCTGTTCATTCTCACTTGGGAAATGGAAGGTCTATAAGGTACAATTGTTCTCTCTTCGGCATTAGTCCTAGCAGAGAGGTTGACTCTCAAAGGCAGCTTTTCCAAGGACCTAAATAATTTCTTTAAGCAACTGAGGCAGTGCTATGAAGAATGAACTTATGCCCATGTAGTGCTTTGCTCCACCAGCAGATTTTATATCATATCTTTGAGTCATCTCCAGATTTTTTATTTATTTCAGGAAAATACAGTATTCAAGAACCCTCCAAATCAATACAGGAGAATCCATTTTAAGTCTTGCTTTCATTAATAATGTGACTCAGAACTTATTCTTTTTAGTCTCTTTTCTCCCCATCTGTAAAATAGGAAAATGCTAACTGCAAGACCTCTTAGATTTTTTTCCACTTCGGATATCCTATGTTTTCAGGAATATACATTCCATGTACTTTTTTTATTTCTTGCCCTACATGTTCGTTTTCTACCATTATATCTTTGTTGATTTTGTGCTATGTATTGGGTTTTAACCAGGAAATCCTATTTTTTAAAGTAGGATCTTTCTGTTCTGTTCTCCAGCTCTTTATCTCATCTTGCATCTCTTTTGCACTTCTTTGTTCTGGCCTATCTTCATGTTTACCTTGGTTTGTTAATTTGGTTTCTGCAATCTCAATTCTAATGCTCACTGTTCCAACCATAATATTAATCAGTCTATTACAATTTTCAAAGCTGTGAGAGCTTTTATTTAAATCTCAGCCAGTTATTATTAACCGGAGCAATACCCTCACTACTGTTGTACATTAGAAGAGGAAGCACAGCATGATGAGTCAGTGTGGTAAAGGAGAGGCAACATCCCTAACCATAAGGTGAAGGGGAGACGGGCTTTAAATTCAGAGAAAACTGAGTTTCTAATGTGATCTTGGGAAAAACTCTTAATCCTCTGAGTCTCAGCTTTCTCATCTGTGAAATACAGATTAGAATATTTTCCCCATAAATTTCTTGCAAGAATTAAATAATTCTATGCAAAATATGTATAAATCAGTTAATTTCATAGTATGGTAGGTCACCCAATAAATGGCAGTTACTTTAAGGTATCAACCATTCTCTAAATTCTTCTTACATTTTGGTATGGATGAGCAATTAAGAATTAACATTTTTCTAGAGTCTGTTTTGTCATTTGTGCTGCTAAGCTTTCATGAGTTCTACACTACTTTCAGCTTCCTTATTTTTCAACAGACTATGGTGTTTCCCTTCAAGGATATTGATAACATGTTAATCTCACATTATTTTATAAGTATTTTAACTAAGTTTAAGAAGAAGAACGTTACTCTGTTGAGTTCCTGTGTTACAGACAAATGACCTTTGTTACCTCATTCTTTTTTTTCAAGATTTTATTTATTTATTTGATATAAAGAGAGATCACAAGTAGACAGAGAGGCAGGAAGAGAGAGAGGGCAAAGCAGGCTCCCTGCTAAGCAGAGAGCCCAATACAGGGCTCGATCCCAGGACCCTAAGATCATGACCCGAACCAAAGGCAGAGGCTTAACCCACTGAGCCACCCAGACACTCTTGTTGCCTCATTCTTAAACCTAGTTTTATTCTGGGGCACCTGGGTGGCTCAGTCAGTTAAGCCTGTGCCTTCAGCTAAAGTCATGATCCCAGAGTCCTGGGATCGAGTCCTACATCAGGCTCCCTGCTCAGTGGGGAGTCTGCTTCTCCCTGCCTCTGCCCCTCCCCACTGCTTATTCATTCTCTCTCTCTCTCTCTCTCTAATAAATAAATAAGATCTTTTTAAAATATTAGTTATATCCCATTCTGGTATCACTCAAGAGCAAAACTGCATTTTAATATCCATAAATGATGGTGCAGATGTGTTCTATGGAAGCAAAAGTCTTTACTTATATCATACATTCCAACTCAGGAAGCTGGTCTGTGCAATGATTTTGGACAGTGTTCAGTACACTGCGGCCAGGCCAGTGTCAGACGGGGGTGCTTCTCCAGCATCAGAGTTAGTGCTGGAAGCAAAGTGGATCTCAGTATATGGACCAAGTGAACAAATGACTGCTTTCTGCACCACAGCAGCAGTCCATTTAATGCTTATAATAGACTAGAGAAAACAGAGTTGTGTTGTCAAAATATTTGCAAAAATGAAATCGAAGTTATAAACCAGGGTTCCCCACAACGGCAGTTCTCAGAGTCTTTAATTTTCTAATGTGCATCATAAACTGTTAAGATGGGGATACACTCGCAGCAGCAAGTTCCCAAAGTTATTTGGCCACAGAATGCCACTTATTTTTGAAAGCCTAATTAACATCTAGGGGGAACCTAGTTTCCTGCAGAACCAGTTTGGTTTTACCCAAAGCTCGGACGGGCCTTCCGCACTGATGGCAAGGTCTGGACTGCCTAGAAACGTTCTTTTTATAGAGATAGTAGATTATTTAGGGATTTTTTACTTCTTTCTCACAGACTACCTTTCCATAAAGGAAACACTAAGTTATTGTTATTGTTATTGTTATTGTCATTGTCATTATTATTGTCATCCATGCTCTATCATAATCTTCCCCTTTCTTTTAGGCGAGCTACCAGAGACAATACAGGAATGAGACTCTGTCCCAGAGTGCAGTCCAGGTGCTGGTCGGTGCCGCGGGAAGCTTTGGAGAGAAGAAGGGAGAGTAAGTACACTGGCAAGAGAAAGCTTCCATCCTAAGCCCCTGCATTTAGGAAATGGTACAAGTTAGTTTGCTTGCTCTTTCTGGTAACCTGGGATCATCTGGTAACATGTGTGCAAGCCACAGCCTGCTCTGCACCCCCAAATCAGGCCAAATCACTTCCTTTCGGTTTCCCAGCTTGCTCTCCTTATTCAGACTCCTGCAGATTTGAATGTGTTGCTGTTGCTAGCTGAGACGCTTTTCCCTTCCTCCTTTAGCCCCCAAAGCTGAGCTGTGGTAGAACACTCTTCCTTTTAGACTGCTTGAATGCCTCACTAAATTCAAAGACTCCATTAATTCCTCCAAACACATCAGTGCATATTCTCTCTTAATACCCAGCATAGTTTTGTAATAGCTTCTTTTGCTTTAAGCCTCTGTACTACATGGCAAGTTCCTTGAAATCCACGTGTTAGCCTCAGATCCTCTTGGAAGGATGAAGGGTATATGATGGGGCTAAGAGGAGAGTTAAACTGCCCTGCAGTTAACAACGATGTTCCCCCAAAGCCCGGACATAACATAACTTCTTCTTCTAAACCACACTCCTTGGTCCCCTGGGTGGCTCAGTTGGTTAAGTATCTGCCTTCAGCTCAGGTCATGGTTCCTCGGTCCTGGGATGGAGCCCACATCAGGGTCCCCACTCAGCAGGGACTCTGCTTCTCCCTCTGCCTGCTGCTCACCCTGCTTGTGCTTTCTCTGTCTCTCTCTCTCTCGTGTGTACACGCACACTCTGGCAAATAAATAAAATCTTTAAAAAATACAAATAAAATAGGGACACCTGGGTGGCTCAGTCGGTTAAGCTGCTGCCTTTGGCTCGGGTCATGATCCCAGGGTCCTGGGATCGAGTCCTGCATCAGGCTCCTTGCTTGGCAGGGAGCCCGCTTCTCTCTCTGCCTCTGCCTGCCTCTCTGCCTGCTTGTGTGCTCTCTCTCTCTCTCTGACAAACAAATAAACAAATAAAATCTTTAAAAAGAAAAATAAAATAAAATAAACCACATTCCTAGCATTGAAGACACCAAAATTCCCTCCTCGAATGGTCCCAAAGCTCACTCGTCAGGTCTTCTTGGGCCTTTCTTTTCCCCCGGGCCGTTCTCTCGAGGGCAGACGGGGTCTTTGGTGTGCCTACGCTGAAAGCTAAGAGCAGCATCAGGCAGGTGTCCACTCCCCAGTGCTGGCTTGTGGCACAGAGAGCAATAAAGCCCTGTGTGGGAAGGGAAGCAGCCGGACGCCAGAGCACAGTCTCATTAAAGTTGGAGTACAGATTTCAAAGAGCGAAAGAGATTGCATTTCAAGCCTAGCCATACAAATCCTTATGACATACTTGTCAAGGAAGTAAGATAAAATACATCTGGCTTAAGATTTCGTTTTCTTGATGAATGAGTTGTAAGGACAAGGGCCTCCGTTTGCCCCTCACTCTAGGCCATTCAGATGCTTACAGGAAGGAGACGGGGACGGAGGGCTGGCCAAATGTGAACACTTAGAAGCAGTGTGACGCACACTTTAAAGAAGACAGACGCACAGCGGACAGCAAAAGTTTTTTAAATGGATGAATAAATAACATGCTGAAAAGCATTATCACTGCATTGTTCAGGAGAAGTTAATATTAAAAAAAAAAAAAAGCAGTATAGAGCAAATCAACCCATTGCCTTGATTTTTCCTCTTTAACTCCTCCAGGAAGGCAGAAGCAATGTATGCCTAGGAAGACCCAGAATAAGGAGGTCAACACTGGGGAGAAGGGAGTTAAAGGGTTGAAAGGATTCCTAGTGGACAACAAAGGCACATTTTAGAATGTATTATTTTTTAGTGATTCATGAATGAGATAAATATTATATACTAATATGTGCAAAGGTATATGGCAGGCACTGTGGGGAGTATCAACATTAGTGGAATGGAGGTCCAATCTCCAGAGAAGTAACTCTTAATTACACTTAGAGTCAGTACTTGCCTTGCAGTTGACTTTGCCATTTGCTGCTCATTCCAGCAACGCCCCATGCGTCGGAGAGTCCTATGGCAAGAAAACAAGTCTAAGGAGAGAAAGAATTGGGGGATTTAAACAGGGGCACCTGTGGTGTGTCCTGTGGCAACGCCCCATGCGTTGGTGTGTCCTGTGGCAAGAAAACAAGTCTAAGGAGAGAAGGAATTGGGGGATTTAAACAGGGGCACCAGGACCTGTGCTAACTGCCTGTGTAATTGCCTGAGAAAGAATTCTTTGAATAGAGAGCTTATATTTATTAAGTACTGTGCCAAGCACAGTTTTAAACATGTTGCATGTATTACCAATCTAAAGTTATAAAAATCCTGTGAGATGAGTGTTAGTATTATCTTCATTTTGCTGATGAGAAAGGTGAGGAGAAAAGAGATGAAACGATTTACCCACGGCCACTTGACTGATAATTACGGAGCTCGCCTTCGAAGCTTCAGCTGCCTTACTATCCGATTAAAGAGATCACAGCCATCTTCCTAAAAAAGCAAGGAATGTGATGACAAAAGATAGGAATTCAGGAGCCTGAATTGCTCATACCACAGAATTTTAGGATTTATAGAAACTTAAGAAATGACCAGATCTTAGTTGAGACATTAATTCCTTCAAGAAGGTTTCCTGATTCCCCAACACTAAATACCAGTCCCCCACTTGATGGATTCAGACTGCCTTATTGTTTATGGTCTCCACAGCAACACCCACTACAATTTTAATGCAATTGTTTTTTGCCTGTTGCGTTCCTCTAGTCTGCTGGATCCTTAAGAGCAGAGATCTGTTTTTGTTTATGGCTTCTCTCCAGCTTTTAGGAAGAATAATAGGTTCAATAAATATTTTTAAAATTAGGAACGATTCAAGCACTATATACATTTGTGATTTTCCATGTGGTTACCATATCATTCATTCTGTTGAGTCACAGAGAATTGAATGACTTCCTTCTTTTCAATTACATCTGTATTCCCATAGCAGAGAAATTGTTCAAATTTCAGAGTAAGAACAGTATAGTCAATAGGAAGGACAAGGTCCACCTTTGAATTTAAGTCACCAATACCCTTCCATTAAGCCATATTTTAAAGTAAGGCCTCAGACCCAAGGACAAAGCCCTATCACCCTTCTGATGAAAATAACAAAAACCAAGGTATTTCGCTAAACAAGACCAAATCATAGCATGTAGATATGAGCTACCTTGTTAGAAAAGTCAGCAGAGGGATGCCTGGGTGGCTCAGTTGGTTGAGCAGCTGCCTTTGGCTCAGGTCATGATCCCAGCGTCCTGGGATCAAGTCCCACATTGGGCTCCTTGCTTGGTGGGGAGCCTGCTTCTCCCTCTGCCTCTGCCTGCCATTCTGTCTGCCTGTGCTTGCTCTCTCTCCCTCTCTCTCTGACAAATAAATAAAATCTTAAAGAAAAATAAATAAATAAAATAAAAGTCAGCAGAAACCTAGAGATGGTGGGATATGTGCTACCAAACTGTCTTTGGGGTTTTAGGACCACTGACTTCTCCAAGTGATCATTAACTCTTTACTCACCACTTGTATTTTCTCCATTAATTCCCCTAAGTACCTGTCCAGAAGTTGAAATCAATCAAAGAGGTAAGAGGATATATGAGATGAGTTGGATGCCTCAAATATACTTTCTTATTTAATTATCCCCAACTGGCATGGATACTATCATGTCTATTTTGTAGAGCAAACATTTTAATGAGGTAATTTGTTCACTGCCTCACGAGATAATGGGGGCTCCATCATGAAAACTGGATCTATTTGAATCACGTTATTCTTTTCCTCCCTGAAACTTGACGTCTCTATTTTAAACCATGTATTTCTCTTTAATGAGTGAGCCCCAGAATCTAAATTCATAATTATATATGTACTTGTATCTACAACTTTGTGACTTGGGCCTATGCTCATGAAAGTGTCCTCTTTCTAGTTATCAATGGACAAAATCATCTTCTTGCTTTCTGACATTACTGTATTAAACCTAGTCCCCAAATTTTAAAGCAGGTTTAGTGATTACTTCTTTTTTTCCCCCAGATATATGAGTCCTGAGACAATAAAGAATTATTCTGAAAGCAAAAAACTTCTTGCCTTTATTAGAAAAGTATTGCTCAATTGGGTGTATAACACTAAAAAGGAAAAAGGGATCCCATCAAGGTAAGCGATTTTGAACCTTACTAGAACTCTTATTATACTGACCTTAAATTCCCTTTCTACTTTTTAAATTTATATCCTGGGAGCTCCTGGATGGCTCAGTTGATAAAGCATTTGACTCTAGATCTCAGGCTTGTATGTTGAAGCCCCACAGAAAATTTAAGAAACAAATTCATATCCTGAATATATTGGAAAATATTTGGGGTAGTTTATAATTAAATTACTTATATACAGATGAAAAGTTACTTGAAGAAAAAAAGATAGTATAATAACTTTTCTCTTATTATTGAAGTAAATTTCATATACCAAGATGAACAATTTTTAAGTTATCATTCCATGTTATTTAGTACATTCACAATGTTAGGCAAACGTCATCTCTGTCAAAATCCAAAACATTTTTATTGCCTCCAATATAAATCCAGCACTCATTAAGCAGTCACTCCCCATTCCCCCTGGCCTCCCCAGCTGCTACATCACACTAGTCTGCTTTGTCTCTATGAATTTACATGTTCTGAATGTTTCATATAACTATATATATATGAGTATATATTCATATAACTAGAATCATCCAGCACATAGTCTTTTGTTTCTGGCTTCTTTCACTCCCCATAATGTTTTCATCCACATGGTAGAATGTATCAGTAACATAAGTTTCATCCACTTTGTAGCATGTATCAAGACTTTATTCCTTCCTACGGCTGAATTATAGTTCATTGTACAGATACATCATATGTTGTTTACCCGTTCATCAGCTGATGGACATTTGGGTTGTTTTCACCTTTTGGCTACTGAGAACAGTGCTGTTAAGAACATTTATGTAAAAGTATTTGAATACCTGCTTTCCACTTTTTGGGTATGCACCAAAGAGTAAAATTGTTGGATCATAAGATAATTTTATGTTTAACTTATCCCAAGGAACCACCAAATTGTTTTCCACAGCTGTCAGATAATTTTGAAATCAGGAAATATAAGTTTATCAACTTTCTTTTTCAAGATTGGTGTAACAATGTGGGTAATTCCATATAAATGTAATTCCATATAAATTTTAGGATTTTCTTAATTTTGCAAAAAAAAAAATGCCATTGAGTCTTTCATGGGGATTACATTGAATCTGTAGTATTGTCATCCTTATAATATTAAGCTTTCCAATTCATGAACATGAGGTGACTTTTCCTTTACTTAGATCTTCTTTTATTTCTTTCAGGAATGTCTTGTAGTTCTTAGCATACAAGTCTTTGATTAAGGTTAATCCTATTTTTTCCTTTCTTTTTTAAGAATTTTATTTATTTATTTGACAGAGAGATAGAGAACACAAGTAGACAGAGCAGCAAGCAGAGGGAGAGGGAGAAGCAGGCTCTCCCCAGAGCAGGGAGCCTGATGCGGGACTCAATCCCAGGACCTTGGGATCATGACCTGAGTGGAAGGCAGTTGCTTAACCAACTGAGCCACACAGGAATCACTTTTTTTGCTTTTTTGATGCTATTGTAAATGACACTGTTTTCTTGATTTCATTTTAAGATTGTTCATTCCTAGTGTATGATTTCTATATATTGACTTTGTATTCTGTGAAGCTTTGCTGAATTCATTGATTAGCTCTCCTGTTTTTTGTGAATTTGCTGAGATTCTTTCTGTAGAAAATCATGTCATCTATGAATAGAGATAATTTTACTTGCTTCTTTCCAATTTGGATGCCTATTGTTTCTTTTCTTAGATTCAAGAGGAGGAAATATAGACTGCTCTTCTCAATAAAAGTATTAAACATTATGTAGCATCTTTAATCTATAAATTTATAGATTTAATCTATAAATCTATAAATCTATAAACACTCAATAAATACAAGAAAGGTGTTATCATATTATAGGGTTTTTTAAAGCCTTCAATACTGACTAAAGATGCAACTTTTTAAGTAATTCTTTTTGTTGATGTAACTTAATGAAAGGGAGATTTTAAAAACTCCCCATAAGCTATCTCTGAATATCACTCATCTCAAAGTGAGTAGTGCAGATCCTGGTGCCATATGGCTTGGTTTAGAATCTCAGTCTCTGTCATTTATTATCTGAATGAGCGTTTCAGTCCTCAGTATCTGATATATATATATATATATATATATATATATATATATATATATATATATGACCTGTGACAAAGTAACTGACACATAATGGGCACCAAAATATGCGAGTTGGGTTCTCCTCTGTTTCCTCATGGAACTGTGGGAAAGAATACATGAATAGTATGTGTAGAAGCACCTAGGCCAGGGACTAGCACTGAGTAAGCACTTAACAAATGTGAGCATTTATTACTAAGTGCCGAATTCCAATAATATAAGTATTACTGAAATGTTGAAATTAAGAAGTGACAGAATCACAAACAGGAACAAGTCCAATCACCAAAAGAAACTGAATAGGAAATTCTTAAATTCACATAATTCTTAAAACTAAAAATTCAACTTAAATTATTCATAACTAAATAAGTCAATAATAGTATATCTATTTTGAGGGGATACAGCTAGAACTACAGAAAGAAGAATAAATACCTAGCATTAATAGGGTTTCCATATCAGGGTCAGGGGTCTGAAAGAAAAAGATCAGGAGCCTGAGATCTAAAGTGGTAACACTTGGGTGGATAAATCTGAAGATCTTGGACCCTCACATTTCCCATGAATACTGTAGCCTGGCAGAAGGCAGCCACCTCTTTCTTGCTAGAGGATAATAGCCTCCTATCCGCTTCAGATGGGTGGATAAATCTGAAGATCTTGAACCCTCACATTTCCCATGAATACTGTAGCCTGGCAGAAGGCAGCCACCTCTTTCTTGCTAGAGGATAATAACCTCCTATCCCCTTCAGATGCTACAAAGACATCACAAGATAAAGTTATTCTCTACCACCTCTCACTGTTTCCAAGGTAATTACCCATATCAGATCTCAACACAGCTAGAGGAGGAAATACAGTGCTTACTTCAGGAGACTACAATTTATCTACTGAGGGAATAACATAAATTCCCTAATTACATAAATTACATAAATTCAAGGCCTGAGTAATACAAGCAAATACTGGTAGACATATAATGGAATGGATCTTGAGGGTACTGGGCAAGAGGGTTACAGCATAAGGCCAGATTAGGGAGAATTTATTGGCATGATGGTCTTATCCAGGATTCGAGGTTCAACATTCTGTAAAGGACACTTGCAACCAGTACAGTTAATCTCTTGGGATTGTTCTTTGAAGCTTGACCAGGCCAATAACCTACAATAAGTGAAGTATGGATGATAAAAACTGGAATATTTACCAAAATTATTATAAGAGAATGAAGGACCCATCACTTTGCCCCCCTGGGAAGGACCAGAGGATGTTTACTTTCACAAGGCAACACTGAGAAACTCGGTGATAGATGCCCTCGGCAAGACATGGTTGATAGTAGTTGAGGTTGCCAGGGAAACTAGTCTTACTAGTATCAAAAGGATTTGGGAATGGCAGAAGACAAATGGCAGCACTCAAATGTCAAAAGCAAGGTGGGCATACTTTATTTTGTGAACAGCAAACCTGGAATAGCAGTCAGAGTACCTTGGCCTGGATATGGGTAAGATAATTTGTGTCAAATGACAATGTAGACAAATAGTTAACTACATTTTATTTGACTTTTCTAAAAATAGAGAACTGGTCAGCAAAGGGATGAAGTCAACTACTGCAAAGGAAGATCATGATTCCCCACCCTTTCTTTATATCTAAGTCAGTTCTCAGAACCAGAGCCTTTGGGAAAGGTCTACAATAACACCACAAACACATAGGATAAATATTCTCTCAATCTTTTCTCAGATGGACCTTTAGTCACTTTACTAAAAAAGTTAATTTTAAGTGGGAAAAAAGAGAATACTAAGACTTTTAAAAAGACTTTGGGGGGAATATAAATAAGCAAACAAACGAAAGACCGGAGGCTTGAATTGCTATCACAGTTCTCAAATTAGAGAGGAAGCTTTTAGGTTAAGTCTCTGACCCAGTCTGCTTCATAATAATCCAGCAAGTCCACTGTGTGGTTATTTCTCTAAATCTCCAAGTGTATACATGGGATGAATATAGTCAGTGTGTAGCTGAACATTCACATTGTCTTGCTGACCTATAGAATAAGAATTATTATGGCAGGAAGGTCCAAGTGACCATGTGGAACCCTGGCCAAAATAGTCATAAGAAGTAATACAGTATTCCAGGCATAAAGAAATTAACACCAACCTTAAAGATTTAAAGGAATTGAGAGTAATCCCCACCATATCCCTTTCAATTCATCTCTCTGGCATAAACAAGTCAAATTACAGTCACTTATAAATTTAAGCAAAAGGTAATATCAACTTTATCCATTCATCTGTTGAAGGGCATCTTGGCTCTTTCCACGTTTTGGCTATTGTGGACATTGCTGCTAGGAACATTGAGGTGCATATGGCCCTTCTTTTCACTGCATCTGCATCTTTGGGGTAAAAATCATGGAACACTACATCAAAAACTAATGATGTACTCTATGGTGACTAACATAATACAATTTTTAAAAAGTCAAAAAAAAAAAGAAATGTATAAATAAATAAATGTCTGGTAGGAAAGAAAAAGGTAACATCAAGTGCAATGCTGTGCCAGATACGACTTTATTCCTGAAAGAAATCAGGAAAAGCAGTCTGTATTCTAGTTTAAGATAGTGACATAGGAGGCCCCTGAACTTAACTCCTCTCATCAACATACCAAATCCACAGCCACATATGGACCACTTCCCTCTCAAAAAAAGCCAGAAAGTAGCTGAGTGATTCTTACACATCAGGCTAATGAGAAAATACCTACATTGAAACAGGTAGTAAAGGCTGAGACACACTCTCAGCATAAAACTAACCCTCTGGCATTGAGGCATGCGATCAGAAGGGAATTCTTGGTTCCCAGCTTCTCCATGAGAAGTAAAGGGTTTGGACCCAACATCTAGTGCCCCAACGTTTGAGACTTCCACTTGAGAGATGGGCCCCCAAAACATCTGCTCTGAGAGATAACTGGGCTTATGTCCACAAGATCCAGACTAGAATAGACAATGGAACAGTTCTTAATGAGCTTACAAAGTTCATTCTCCTGGAAATGAACTTGTGCAAGAGTTTGGCACCCTGGCTTTTGTGGTTGCCATCCAGAGGACACCCCCCTATTAGTAATAGAAAAACATATGAAAGTATAAATCTCACTGGTAAAGATAAATATATGATAAAATTCAGACCACTCTAATATTGCAACAATGGTGGATAAATCGCATAAAAATCTAGCATAAAGGTTAAAAGTCAAAGGTATTAAAAAAACAAATATAGCTACAATAATGGATACACAAGACAAAAAGGGGTAAATATAAATTATGACTGTCAACAAACTGGGTAATGAAGTGGTATACCTCAACAAAGGCCATAGTTGACAATCACACAGCTAACATCATATTCAACAGTGAAAGGTGAAGGCTGAAAGCTTTTTCTCTAAGATCAGGAGTAAAATAAGGAGGCCCACTCTCATCACTTTTATTAAATTTAGTATTGGAAGTTCTAGCGAGAGTAATTAGGCAAGAAAAAAAAGTTATCCAAATCAGAAAGAAATGAGTAAAACTGACATCTTTTGCAGATGTCATGATATATACAGAAAACCCTAGGAACTCCACAAAAAAAAATGTTAGAACTAATAAACAAATTCAGTGAAATTACAGCATGCAAAATCAATATATATAAATATCAGTAGTATTTCTATACACTAATAACAAAAAGGAATTAAGAAAATCCCATTTATAACTGTATTAAAATGAATAAAATACTTAGGAGTAAATTTAACCAAGGAGGCAAAAGACCTGTACACTGATTACTATAAGACATTGATGAAAGAAATTAAAGAAGATACAAATAAATGGAAAGATATCTTATGCTCATGAATTGGAAGAATTAATCTTGTTAAGATGGCCATACTACTCAAAACAATCTATAGATTCAATGTAATCCTTACCAAAATTCCAATTAACATTTTTTACAAAAGTTTCAAAAAATCCTAATGTTTGTATGGAATCACAAAAGATCCTAAATCGCCAAAACGATCTTGAGGGGGAAAAAAAAAGAATAAAACTGGAGGTATCACAATTCTTGATTTTAAACTATATTAAAAAGCCGTAGGGATGCCTGGGTGGCTGAGTTGGTTAAGCCTCTGCCTTCGGCTCAGGTCATGATCCCACCGTACTGGGATCGAGTCCCACTTCAGGCTCCTTGCTTGTCAGGGAGCCTGCTTCTCCCTCTGCCTCTGCCTGCTACTCTGTCTGCCTGTGCTTGCTCTCTCTCTCTTTCTCTCTCTGACAAATAAATAAATAAAATCTTCTAAAAATAAATAAATAAATAATTTTAAAAAATTTTTTAAAAACTGTAATAAACAAATAGCATGGTATTGGTGTAAAAACAGACACATAGATCAATGGGACAGAATAGAGATCCCAGGAATAAACCCATGAGTATATAATCAATTAATTTATGACAAAGGAGCTAATGATATACAGTGGGTAAATGATGTTGAGAAACCTGGACAGCCACATGCAAAATAATGAAACTAGATCACTATCTTACATCATAAACAAAAATCAGTTTGAAATGGAGTAAAGTAAGACCTGAAACCGTAAAACCCACAGAAGAAAACATGGGGGATGAACTCCATGATAGCGTTCTTGCGATTCCATATTGAGTGAAATCATATGGCATTTCTCGCTCTCTGACTGACTTACTTTGCTTAGCATAATACACTCTAGCTCCATCCATGTCATTGCAAATGACAAAATTTCATTCTTTTTGATGGCTGAGTAATATTCCATGATTTCCATGATTGTGTGTGTGTGTGAATACACACGTACCACATCATCTTTATCAGCTAATGGACATTTGGGCTTATTTCATAGTTTGGCTATTGTTGATAATGGTGTTACAAACATTGGTGTGGATATGTCCCTTCAAATCTCTATTTTTGTATCTTTTGGGAAAGTTTCTAGTAGTGCAATTGCTGGATGATAGGGTAGTTTAATTTTTAACTTTCTGAGGAAACTCCTTACTGTTTTAGAGTGGCTACACCAGTTTGCATTTCCATCAACAGTTTAAGAGGCTTCTCCTTTCTCCGAATCCTGCATCCTTGCCAATTTCTATTGTTTCCTGAGTTGTTAGTTTTAGCCATTCTGACCATTATGAGGTGTATCTTATTGTGGTTTTGATTTGTATTTCCCTGACGATGAGTGATGTTAAGCATCTTTTCATATGTCTGTTAGCCATCTGATATCTTCTTTGAAAAAATATCTTTTCATATCTTCTGCCATTTCTTTTTTTGTTAATGTGTATGTGATCAATTTTTTAATTTAATTTAATTTTTTCAGTGTTCCAAGATTCATTGTTTATGCACCACACCCAGTGCTCCATGTAGTATGTGCCCTCCTTAATACCCACTACCAGGCCCACTCATCCTCCCACTCCTCTCCCCTCCAAAACCCTCAGTTTGTTTCTCAGAGTCCACAGTTTCTCATATTTCACCTCCCCCTCCAATTTACCCAATTCACTTTTCCTTTCCTTCTCCTCATGTCCTCCATGTTATTCCTTATGCTCCACAAGTAAGTGAAACCATATAATAATTGACTCTCTCTGCTCGACTTATTTCATTCAGCATAATCTCCTCCAGTCCTGTCCACATTGGTACAAAAGTTGGATATTCTGCCATTTCTTAACTGGATTATTAATTTTGGGGGCGTTGAGTTTGAAAAGATCTTTATAGATTTGGGATATTAACCCTTCAACAGATATGTCATTTGCAAATGACATAGCTCCCATTCTGTAGGCTGCCTTTTAGTTTTATTGACTGTTTCCTTTGCTGTGCAGAATTTTTATCATGATGAAGTACCAATAGTTCATTTTTGCTTTTGTTCCCTTGCCTCCAGAGATGTGTCTGCAGCCCAGGTCGCAGAAGTTGCTGCCTATGTTCTCCTCTAGGATTTTGATGATTTCCTGTCTCACATTTAGGAGTTCCATTGATTTGACTTAATATTTGATTTAAATATTTTGATAAATACATTTTGATAAAATGTGGATTCATACTGTTTCATTACCACACATCCTGGGACTTTTATTTTTTTACAGATTTTATGCCTCAACGAGGAAAGATGCTCATGATACATTGTTAAGAAAAAGAAAAAAAAGTTTATAATGATATGTATGATAAAATTTTTGTGTTTACAGATAGTGATTACATAAGAAAAATGATTGGACTAATATTCAAACTGTTAATAGTAATCATGTCTGGCAGGTGGAAGGAATTCCCTTTGTTTATTATTATTTTTTACTATTTTTAATTTGAATTATTCCCATCTCCTGACCAAAGTATTTCTATTAAAACTAAAAATGGATGAGAGTTGAGGAAGATGGGGTAAAAAGAGGCAAAACAAGCCTCAAGACATCTAGCAGAGGAGGAAATTAAAAGGACAATATCTGAAGGGAGATGCCAGAAAGTGTTAGGTAGTGATTGCTCCTACCCAGAACTAAGCTGGGCTGTGTACTATAAATGATTAGAACAGAACTGAATATATAATGAAAGTCACTCAGTGTAATTATTTTATTAGATAAAACTCTTTTTTTTGTAGACATTGCATTCTTCGTTTATGCCATAAAATTGTATTTACGGATGAATTTGAGTATATTGGATATCTTGTGATACTAATGAATATGTTTCCTATTATAATTTCTTGGATACCTAACTTAAGTGATATCTATGACCACGAATTAAGATACTCTAACTACTCTTTTCTTGCATTTTATATTGTGGAGTCCCTATTTAAGGTAATCCAAAATTGTGGTGTGTGTGTATCTGTGTATGTGTGAATATGTTATATGTTTCACAGAGAGATTCTGTAACTTCATTTTCCAACACTAACTACACACAATTTTCTAAAGGAGTGTATGAAATTCTTTCTCACTTCCCAAACTTTAATTTTTAAAGGTAAATTTTTAAGGCAACTCAATAGAAAACATCCATACTGTAAGAACTGATTTTGTATTTGTAAACATAAATTTTAAAATGGTGTGTGTCAAAGGGAGTTTCAAAGGTATTGACAGTGTTCATAAATTTAGCAGGATAGTGTTCATTTTAATTTTTTTTAATACTAGATAGAGATAGGTAGAGTGATAGAGACCCCTTCATGCCTGAAAAACATTCATGATTTGATTTTTAAATCTAATATAAAGGTAGTTGTAAAATGAAGAAAGGGTCAACAAATTGATAATAGTATTGATAAAGCATTGTGTTATATAGACCAAAAAGTGAAGACTAAGAATATGAGTATACATGATGGACAAAAACAAGGCAAAAGCTAGAAGCAAAACCATTGCATGCACAAGGGACATCACTCCCAGTGACTGGAGCTTGGGATGGATTGGTCAGCATGGATATTAGAGAGATGTTAGATTTGTGTGGAGGGTATGGAAAACGAGACATGGACATAAAGAATAAAGAGCTTCATAGGCCATGCTATCTCTTTCACTTCTGGCATCATCTGGCATCATCTACCATTTATAGTCTAATAACTTCCAAATTCACATTCCCAGCTCAGATCTTACCAAGAACCTCAGATCATAGAGAAACTGATGACTGGATCTCTCCAACAAAATGCTATACAAACATCTCAAACAGCATATTCTAAAAAATTTATCTTCTCTAAACCTACTTTTCTTTCAGAATTCCACTGAAAACCCAATTTCCCAGACTAGCATCCACAATCATCTTTAATACTTCCCACTCCCTTAGCTATGCTTTAATATTTCAACCATTTGAATTTTAAATTAATATGCTTCCTTACTAGTATTTCAGACAAGTAATCTTAAGGTACATCAGAAAAGAATCTAACTAGTGATGTTTCAGTTATTGTGGAAAATGTTACAGTAAAAGCAAAAACAAGATAATGTATTTTTTTTTAATCAACAGATGGCTGCAATGAGGAAAGAATATTTTTTACAGGCCTGGAACCTATTTGAGTTAGCGATTACATCAGTTGGCATCATAGATATAATTCTTATTGAGACAAATTCTATTACTTATACTCTTGATTTTATTCTAACAGTAATCTTTATAAAGATTGTTCGATTTCTTCGCTTACTACGTATTTTGAAGGTAAAGAACTATTAAATCATTCAATTTCAAATTTCTACTGACTGCTTCATGAAATATGGACTAAGATCAGTTTAATAGTTTTATGATTTCCACTTTTTATTGAGATGATGTTTATATTTTAAATTTCATAACCCTTCTACAAATTAAATTTTATAACATTATTTTATGACTATCCAAATTGTATGTGCAATTTATTTAGTACATGAAAGTATAGAAATACTCAGTATAGCTTTTTCTTTGAATAGAGAGCACATAAAAAATTCCATAGTAATGTAAGTATAAATTAACCCCAAAGTAATGTTAATTTTTATAGCTACCTGGTATAAAACCTGGAAATCAACAAAACAACCATGCACACCATTCATAATGACAAAGCAAATAGTATAAATTCATACATGTTAAGAATCCAAAAATTATGCATTTCATGTTTCATAAATTCGTAGTAACATAAAATCACAACATCAAAAATAACCTTATTTGTCTAATCATCTTTCTATAACAAGCATGATATTCTTTATTATCTATACAGTTATTTCAATGACATGGGACTCACTCCATCACAAGGCATGTGAGGTATATATATGGAGCAGGTGTACATCCCCTCTCTCTCACTGGCTCGCTCTATTCATACAGAAACAAGACACGCGCACGTTTAAGCACCGTGAGAGGTACAAACCTAAGTGAGACACGGTTCATCTAGAGGTAAAACTAAGAGATTAGAATCTGTACCTTGAGAGCTTTCTTACATATGCTTAAAAAATACTTTTGCTAAGGTCTAAAAGGATGCAACTAGTAGCTTTTCCCATTTTAGTGTTAAATAAGACTGCAAGTAATGCCAGTGTGCAATTTGACCTAAGGAAGACAAGCAAAGTGTATTCCAAGGACTAGTTAATTCTTTCCGATTGGAGAATATACGGGGTCGACCAAATATTTTAAGTGAAGAAACTGGTAAGCCACCTAAGGAAATTTTGTTTAGGTATTCAGGAAATTCTGAACCCTTAAATTATGTCAAATGGTAGGCCGTGGAACATGAAGACAGATTAGACACACTCTAGAGAACTTGTAGAAGGAAAATGACGTATCATCTAGATGTTCCAATGTTACATTGTAAGGTAAGTGCAAAACAGAGTATGTACAAAATGCTAACGAGATTTTTTAAAAAGATGTCTTTTATTAGGTGATGCTTAAACTGAATCTTGAAGGATGAGCGTAAATTAGTGCTTTGAGGATTAATGGCAGTTGGTCGGAGGGGAGAGTATGAAGATTATGGAGCATAGATGGGAAAACATGGGAAACAGCCAACTCTGGGGAAGTTAAAGGACTGCTGAGTGGTAACAGATAATCTAGAAAGTTAAACCTCAGCAAAGAAACAATGAGAAATTAATGGCGGGGTCAAACAAGAAGTATAGTTGTGGTGGATTCTAACTCCCAAATAAACCTTCTGATAAGAAGGTTAGTAGAAGATTTCACAGGTAAAAGTGGCAGTACTTTATACACATTTATGACAAGCCCAGAAGATTAATTGCATTGTTTTCCAAGAATTTAAACCAGTTGGAAGTAGTATTCAATGCCCTATAGGGGACATAAGTAAAGAGTAAATTCATAATTTCACATAGGTGTCCAGCATTATTAATTATAGGGAAATCACTCTGGTCATGAAGTTATAAAAGTACCATGAATAAAATAACCTTGACAGCTTACTATAGTTACTGTTGAAAACATGTTATTTCTTAATATTATCTACTTTAGTTAAACTAATCAATATATAACTAACTAATTGTGTACAATTTATAGTAAATGGTAGTTCCATTTTTTTCCAGCTCATAACCCCAAAGTTGCTGCAAATAATAGATCAAAAGATGAGTCACCAGCTGTCCTTGAAATATGCTATACTAAAAGGATATGTCCAAGGTGAAGAAGATATAATGACTATAATTGATCAGATTTCAAGTTCTAAGCAGGTTAAACAGGTGAGAAAAACTTTCATTAGTAAGGTAAGGTTTATTCCTCCAATCTCTCAGTTGCCCCCACCCATTATGTCCTCTCTATATATGTAGATGTGGTCTTTGACACAATTTGCTAAGTAATTTCTGTAAAAACTTAAACTAGTCTACATATGTATTATTCAGAAGCTGAATATGTCTGTTACTGAATTGTCTGTGTCACAGTAGCAAATCACGAGGCTTTTGCAAGCCACCTTTTGGGGCACATGAAACATATGTGCGGTGGTCATCAGCTCCCTCCTGATGCAAATTCCACGATCTGTCAACAACAGGTGCACTAAATAGGAAATATTGGAAGATGAGATGTAATGGTAATGTTAAACAAAGGGAGACTCCTCATAATTCCCGAAGGCTCCCTTCCTCTCTCCTGCCTGATTTTCCCACAGTAAAAGAAGGAAATGAAGGGGATCTGCCAAATGGAAAAAGTAAGAATAGCTCATCTAGAAGGAAACCTTGTCTAATTTCTTTATTACACAGAAAAAGAACGAAAAAAAAAAAAAGCCAAGAGAGATTGAATGATTATGCTCAGTCACATGGCTAGTAAACAGCATAGAGAATTCTAGGGCTTAAGTTCTGGATTTTCACTTTTTTGACTGAGGTGGTTGTTCTCACAAGTTTGTCAACTATGTGAAATACTTACCTTTCAAGGCAACGTGGAACATGTGAATGTCAAGTAATATATACCCAAAGCTCTGTAGTTGAGAAAATCGAACATGTGTTATGTAGTAGAACACAAAAAGCAGTATCTTTCCTTTCTTCACCACCTGTAATTTTAAAACTCTTTTCCTAAATGTTGTTACCTGTTCTTACCTGGAAACAGATATTTAGCACTGGAATTTGAGGATACACAGTAGGAAAAACAAGGGGAACTGAATCCCTGAGATGTCCAGCTTTAGTGCTCATTTTTGTTCTAACACAGTTCAGCCAAACCTTCTACCTCATTTAAGATTGAAAGCTTTCCCTGTGGCCCCAAAGTTGAATAGGAAAGCATCAACCGTGCTTGTGTTTTTCAGAATCAATAGTACCCTAAAGCAGGTTACTTTAAGGAAAAAGAAAAAAATATGACTTGCCTTTGGGGTTCTCAAAATCAACCTGGTAATGCCACTTTTTATTCTCTTCACCAACTTGCTGGAGAAACATAAAATTTATTGCACAAAATTGAATTCTAATCCCTGAAAATTTCCTCATCACATGTTTTCTTTAAAGTTATTAGTTAAGTGAAAAAAAAATTCATCAGTTGCAAATGTAAAGATATTTTATAACAGCTTGTTCTCCAGGGGGATAAATCTTCTTTTATTTTGTAGATGTTGTTAAGGAGGATAATGAAGAATACAGGACATGCTATGAAAGAGCTGGGTATGTACCCTTCACCCTAAAGATTAAGCACAACCATCCCTTATTATCACTACTTCAGAGAGAAAATTATTTTGATAACTAAACTGATATTTGAGGAAACCTATTTATTACTAATAATAAATTATATAACTTCAACAATATCATATCTTTGGTTTGGATGGGTTTCGTGTAATATTACCTCTCCACACTTGTTTTTCCTGTCTTATACCTCAATAAAGACCTTTCAAATTCTTATTAAACACATTAACATTGCATGCTTATACATACTATTATCACCTTATAAATTCTATTTTCCTCCAAACCAAAAGTACACACACCATCCTGAGCAATACAAGGAATAAAAGTTATTTTTTTCCCCTTCACTTGCCACAGAGCTACCATCTGAGGATTTGGGATTTATAAACTGAAATCAGAAAAGAGTCTCACTAACATCTGAGGATTTAGGATTTATAAGCTGAAATCAGAAAAGAGTCTCACGGATCTCTGATATGACTGCTGGGAGCCTCTATGCCTAAATATGGCAATAGCTTCTTCTCTGAATCATGCCATGTCATGCTCCTAGTACAGAGTAAATCCTGGGAGTGGGACAGACACACTCCTATAGCATAGAGTTCATGTGGGAGGAGAAGGAGGTTTGGTACCAGGTAGTGGGCAAGAAAATGACACAGCAAATCTGAGAATTGACCAAGACTTGAGAGATTTTGCATGGCAGATAGTTGTCAAGTGAGACAAGAAGCCATCACAAAGGAAAAGCCAAAATAGAATCTAAGTGAAAGCAACTCTCATGGGCATTCAGGAATCTTCTGCCTGATAAGACAGGCAGAAGAGCATAGATGAGTCCTCTAGATGCTCAGGAATGCTGGGTGGACAATAACCAAAGATGGATGAGAAGACTTAATCAGAAGCCATACCTAAGGCACTGTTTGAAGTCCAAAATCGTAATTCAAACAGAATAGAAAAGTAGAACATAAACTCCAGACCTAGGGCCCAGAGGAGCCTTTCAATATCCTATACAGGTATATCAGTATAATTGTTAATCCTAGGGCTAGGGTTGTCTGTCCTTCCTTATGGGCTTAGCTATAAGCTGACAAGAAAATAGCAAGCAGAACTCTGTAGCCACTGGTGAATTATGATTGATTGCAGACACCTCATCAGGAAGATATACATTTATCTGTGTTGAGGGTTGTAGTCCATGGATTTAGAGTGGAAACACTAGCTTATTGTCCACATGAAATATTTAAATAATATTCTTATTTTATCTGAAAATGTTATTTTTCAGGCTACTTAGAGTATGATCACCCAGAAATCGCTGTTACTATGAAAACAAAGGAGGAGATTAATGTCATGCTCAATTTGGCTAGAGAAATTGTTAAGGTTTTTAGGTCAAAAGGTATTATTCATAAAATTGAAGGCTGTGAAATTAATAAGGTAAGGTAGCATATTTTTAAAGCAAATATACTTACTTGATATATAGTTGTTTATGATCTTCAAACCTACTTCTGTTTTTCTAATATAGGCCATCTCTGAGATCAGAATATCTCTAACTTAAAATAATTGTCTAGCTTAAAATAATTGTCTAAAGAAAAGCACCTACCCTAGAGCATTTCCTTCCTGATCTCCAATGCTCAATTTCTCATTCCCTTTCTTGGCACAGTGAGAGACCATCTCTTTCTATGCTTTTCTCCCAAACCATTGGTATGATTAAACTATTTCTCATCCTAGACTACAGTGGAAATCAGTATCTAGGAACTATCTACACCACTGAAATAACTTTTCCAATAGACTCTCATAATTTATAAAAGCATTAAGTTATATGGCAAAAATTCACTACATTTTCTTTAAGTTATTTAAATGGTACCATGGCATATAAAAAAATATAGAGGGTCACAACTAATTCTGTAAGTACAAAATTTACTCTCCAGATTGGGAATGGTATGAGAAAAAAAACAAAAGCTATTATGCTTGTGAATATATATACAAAACTTTTAAACATAATGGTAGCTAATTAAATCTGGTGGTATATTAAAAGTTTAGTATATGACTAAGAATGTTTTAGCTCTCAAAATAGCTATATAACTTATTAAGAGTTTAAAAAATTGAAGAAAAAGAAAAAGAAAAAAATTGACAAAATTTATTACTCAAAATATTTTTAAAAATTCTCATGAGGCTAATAAGAGAAGTAGAATCCTTCACTGAATAAAGAGTTTCTATTTAAAATTTAAAAGAAACATTGTATTAAATGGTAAAACATAAGTATTCCAACTAAAGTCAGGACCAAAAGGAAAATGAACAGTGCCTCTCCAAATATTGAATGCCTTGCTGGAAATCTTAGCCAGGTGAAGAAAAGAAAGCAAGGAAATTGAGAGATAAAATTTTTGGAAAGATGAAAAAGTTATCATATATTGATTCTTTAAAATCCTAGGAAAATAAACTAAAATATGTAGGATTAATAAGGTAAATCATAGGGCATTCAGAAATAATATTGACATTCAAAATCCTTCCTCAACTAAAGAAAAATATTCTATTCACAGTATTGATTAAAAACTCAAAATCCTTAAGTGTGAACCTAAGATAAAATATATAACATCTATGTGGCAAGAACTGAAAGGCGTATTTGAGCAGGCAGAAAGATCAGTCACCTTAAAGATAAAACAATGGAAATTATCCTATTTGCGGAACAGAAATAAAAAGATTGGTGAAAAGTGACAAAATCTAAGAGACCCGTGAGATCCAATCAAGAGGACCAACATGTGCATTGTGGAAATTCCACAAGGTGAGAGACAGAGAGAGAATATTTGAAGAAGTAATGCTGAAAACTTCCCAACTTAGATGAAATACATAAATATTAATATCCAAGAAGTTCAATAAATTCCAAGTAGGATGACCTGAAAGAGACCCACACCAAGACACATTATAATCAAACTGTCAAAAGACAAAAGAAAATTTTGAAATCATCAATAAAGAAGTAACTCATCCCATATAAGCAATCCTTAATAAGATTATTATCAGATTTCTTATCAGATACTTTGGAGACCAGAAGGAAGTTAAGTGATATATTTGAAATGCTAAAAGAGAAAAAAATCTATCAACCAAAAATCCTATATCCAACAAAACTGTCCTGCAGAAATGTAAAAGAAATTAAGACAGTCCCAGATAAACAAAAGTGAAGGGAGTTTATTACCATAGAACTGAAAGAAATGATAAAAGGAGTCATGCACATTGAGTAGACACCTCACAAAAGAGGATATTCAAATAACTGATACATAACAAAAGGTACTAAATTTTATTGTCATAAACTTAACACAAATTAAAACCAAGTGAAATACCAATACACAACCATCAGAATACTTAATTTTTTTTAACTGACAATATTAGCTATAGGCAATTATGTGGAACTGGAATATTAGAGTAAGAGTATAATTTAACGTAATCACTTTGGAATCGTTAGGCAGAATCTACTAAATGTGAAAATACACATATGACCTAGCAATTAGATTACAGAACCATATATCCACAGAAATGTGTACATATGTACAGCAAACAAATACAGCAGCATTACAAAAGGCCAAAGCTGGCACACTCCAAATGTTGATCAAAAGTAGACAAAACTGTGGTATATCCATATAACATAATCCTCTACAACAATGAAAATGACAGGAATAAACTTCTGCTCCCTCTAATATTAAAGATGAATCTTATAAACATACTACTGAACAAATGAAACCAGACACAAACAAGTACATACTTGTTGATTTCATGCAGATAAATCTCAAAACCAAACAAAGTTAAACTCTGATAAAAGAGGTTATCTTTAGATAAACGAAATGACTAGAAGAAAATATAAGGATTTTAGGTGTAGTAAATGTTTTATTTCTTAATCTGGGTGCTGGTTACCAAGATCTTTTCACATTGTAAATGTTCTTTGAGTGGACATTTATAATCTGTGCACTTTTTGTTTTTGTGCTATAATTCAGTTAAAAAAAGTTTACTTTAAATATTTAATCTGTGACTTCAGAATGATGATAACAGAAAAATGCTGTCAGTGGGGAGAAGTTGAAGGTTTCCATAGAACAACAAAAATCTCAGAAGAGCAAGTAAAAGAAAGAGTACCAAATCATAATTTCGTAAGCATTCTGTGAACACCAATTTTGTTCATCTTCTTTCTTAAATTTTGTGGTTTTAGTTAATAATGGCCAAAAAAAGAGAGATACTTGATTTCCTACCTGTTATCAAGCCCCTTACTATTGAAGAAGCACTCTACCATATTCCATGGCTAGACAAAGACAAAGACCATATACGCTTCATTCAGGTAATATTTTCATTTTCTGGTAATACCATCTATAATGTACCAACAAATGATTTTTTTTATTTAAAGATTTTATTTATTTATTTGACAGACAGAGATCACAAGTAGGCAGAGAGGCAGGCAGAGAGAGAGGAGGAAGCAGGCTCTCCACGGTGCAGAGAGCCCAATGCGGGGCTTGATCCCAGGACCCTGGGATCATAACCCAAGCCGAAGGCAGAGGCTTTAACCTACTGAGCCACCCAGGCGCCCCAAATGATTTTTTTTAACAAATGATTTTTTTAATAAAGACTGTGATAATCTCCAGCTTAAAACTCCATGCATAAACATCACATCTGAAGTTATAAAGATCTATGGATATCCACCTTCATCTCTTTGATATTCATAATTCCTATTTTCTCTTACAAATTTATCACTAACACAATAAGTTGGATCTTACTGACTGATATTTTAATATGTAAGAACTTTTATTAAGATGTAAACCTCAACATCCCCAACCACTGCTAATATAGTGTTTATGTCCTATATATTTGGTGATATTTTTAAGGAAAGAGCCAGGGTTGTAACATTTGACTGTGGAAATGATATATTTGAAGAAGGTGATGAGCCCAAAGGAATTTATATAATAATATCAGGTATGATAAAGGTAAGTCAGATTTATTCAAAAATGCACTTGTGAACATTAGTTAAAAATTCGATAAAATTGAGAATTCATAGTTTTCCATGTTAAGAACTGCATTGTTCCTCTTTTAGGACAATAGCCACCGTTCACTTTTCTTGTTCAAACACAATGGTTAACATTACCTATCACCTTTTATTTTATTTTATTTATTTGAGAGAGAGAGAGAAAATGAGAGAGAGGGAGCATGAGAGGGGAGAGGTCAGAGGGAGAAGCAGACTCCCTGCTGAGCAGAGAGCCCAACATGGGATTGGATCCTGGGACTCCAAGATCATGACCTGAACTGAAAGCAGTCACTTAACCAACTGAGCCACCCAAGTGCCCCTACTTATCACCTTTTAAGTGTTGCTTTCCTGTAGATAACAAGAAACCATCCAAAGGATCATCTTTAAGAGGCAATATTTTAAGTTGTTTTCATCTTGTGTTTATCTGAACTGGGCATTTAGCCACTTTAAGGCAGGTATAAGTTGGCTGAGTAGAAGGAATCAGAAAGATTGCAATACCTAAGAATACTTTTGCTAATTTAATAAATTCACTTTAAAAGGCACAAGTAAGAAGCATCCTCAAAATCGTATTTACATATTAAAATTGTTAAAACCAAAGGAAAAAATAAAAAATTAGAGAGTTTTGGTAATTAACTGGCATTTTTTTTTTCCTTCTTTCTTCATTCTTTAACAGCTTCAAAGATCAAAACCTGGTTTCGGAATTGACCAAATGTTCTGGGAGTCAGAGGAGAAAGATTATCAGCTAATGTACACAGATTTTGTGATCAGTGGGGAAATAATAGGAGAGCTAAACTGTTTAACTAATAAGCCCATGATGTATTCTGCTACCTGCAAAACCGTAGTGGAGGTCAGAAAATATCATCTTTTTTCCTATTGCTGTAACTTATTAAATATCTAGTATCAAATACCAAGGTTATTTCTGTACTTAGCATATATTTACAGTCTAGTAACTTTTTTTTAAAAATAGGAATAGTAAAGGAATAAAACTTGCTACCAAATTATACTTATCCAGTATACTGTCCTGGCAAAATGGCTTGCAAAATTAACATACCATATTGAAAGTTTTAATGAAAAACTGATTAAATGAGGACTCTCATGGGGAAATTAGAGGACATATTTAGCTATCAATACCATAATTTGGGAGGTAAGGAAGGGAAAAAGTCAGAGAACTAACATTTATTAATAAAGAAGTTGAGCAAAGTGGATGGAAGTTTTCCCAGGCACAATGAGGACAAAATTCTCAAAGCAACAAGGGCTATCACTGGCTTAATTTAAACTCAAAAAGAAAAATGATTGCAAACAACTGAACCCCATGATATACAAAAATCCATAAGTTGATGATGATACCAAAGTTTGTTTAGTTTCCAATAAGATTGTTGGGATACGAACTTACTATTCTAAAAATGGATTTTTTTTTTAAATCGAAGGTATTCAACATTTATCTGCCTTTCCTCTATGAATTCTTTCAAGGTAACCAAAAAAAAAAAAAAAGAAGAAGAAGAAGAAGAAATTTTCTTCTGTACAGAATTCCAGCTAACAAATATAGAAACAGAGAATTAGAGTATTTTCATTTTGCCATCTCAATGAAGTAATGGATCTAGGCAACAGCCATCAACTGATGCTAGAACTACTGTGTGGAATGTTAATGGGAAACTTTATAATGAAAGGACCAGGCTAGGCTGGCATCACCTAAAAAACAATCATAGTGTTACTAAAAGTGGGACAATTGGGCCTCATCCACCTCTGGAGATGATGCTGCAAAGCTGGCTCTTTGAAAAAAATCAACAAAATTGATAAACCTTCAGCCAAATTCATAAAAATAAGAAAGAGAGAGAGATGATTCAAATCAACAAAATCAAAAATGAAAGAGGAGAAATAACTGACATCAGAGAAATACAAAGGATTGTAAGAGAATATTATGAAAAACTATATGCCAACAATTTGGACAAGCTAGAAGAAATGAATAAATTCCTAGAAACATGTAACTTCCCAAAACTGAATCAGGAAGAAATAGAAAATTTAAACAGATCAATTACCAGCAATGAAATTGAACAAGAAATCAAAAAACTCCAACAAACAGAAGTCCAGGACCAGATGGCCTCACAGGTGAATTCAACCAGACATTTAAAGAAGAGTTAGTACTTATTCTTCTCAGAATATTCCAAAATCAAAGAGGAAGGAAAGCTTCCAAATTCATTCTATGAGGTCAGCATTACCCTGATACTAAAACCAGATAGACACTACAAAAGAGACAACTATAGGCCAATATCTCTGATGAACATCAAGTTACCTACTCATAGATGCAAAAATCCTCAACAATATATTAGCAAACTGAATCCAACAATACATTAAAAAAAAAAAGTTCACCACTATTGAATGACTTTTATTCCCAAATGCAAGGGTAGTTCAATATTTACAAATGAATCAACATGACACATCACATCAATAAGAGAAAGAATAAGAACCATATGAGAATTTCAGTAGGTGCAGAAAAAGCATTTGGCAAAGTACAAGACCCATTCATAATAAGAGACCTCAACAAAGTGGGTGTAGAGGGCACATGTCTCAACAAAATAAAGGCCGTATATTAAAAACCTACAGCTAACATCAGACTCAAAGGTGAAAAGCTGAGAGCTTTCCCCCTAAGGTCAGGAACAAAACAAGGATGTCCACTCTTACTGCTTTTATTCGACAAATATTGCAAGCCCTACCCACAGCAATCAGACAAGAAAAAGAAATAAAACTCATCTAAATTGGTAAGGAAAAAGTAAAATTTTCACTCTTTGACATGATACTATATATAAAAAACCCTAAAGGCCATCAAAAAGAAAAATTCTAGAACTGATAAGTGAATTTAGTAAGGTTGCAGGATACAAAACCATGTATAGAAACCCATTGCATCTCTATACACTAATAATGAAACAGCAGAAGGAAATTAAGAAAGTAATCCCATTTCCAGCTGCACCACAAATAATAAAATACCCAGAAATAAATTTAACCAAGGAGGTGAAAGATCTGTACTCTGGAAACTATAAAACCTTGATGAAAGAAATTAAGATGTCTCATGCTGATAGGTTGGAAAAACAAATATTGTTAAAATTGTCTGTATTATCCAAAGTAGTCTACAGAGTTAATGTAATCCCTATCAAAATACTAACAGCATTTTTCACAGAACTAGACCAAACAATCCTAAAATATGTATGGAACCATAAAAGAAAGTGAAAGCAATCTTGAAAAACAAAGCTGTGGGTATCGTAATTAAAGATTTCACATTATATTACAAAGCTATACTAATCAAAACAGTATGGGACAAAAATAGAAACATAAATCAATGGAACAGAATAGAAAATCCAGAAATAAACCCACAATAATATGGCCAATTAATCTTTGACAAAGTAGGCAAGAATATGCAATGGGAAAAAGTCTCTTCAACAAATGATGTTGGGAAAACAGGGTGGTTAAATGCAAAGAAGTGAAAGTGGATTACTTTTTTACACCACACACAAAAATAAATTCAAAATGGATTAAGGACCTAAATGGGAGACCTGAAGCTATAAAAATCTTAGAATAGGGGTGCCCGGCTGGCTGTCTTAGTCAGTAGCATGTGGCTCTTGGGACCATAATTTAAGCCCCACATTGTGCATAGAGTTTGCCTAAAAAATAAATGAATAAAAAATGAAAATCCTGGAATGGAGAACAGGTGATCATTTCTCTGAAACTGGCCATAACAACTTCTTTCTAATTATGTCTCCTGAGGCAAGGGAAACAAAAACAAATATAAACTATTGGAACTACATCAAAGTAAAAAGCTTCTGCACAACAAAGGAAACAACAAACAGAACTAAAAGATAATCTACTGAATGGGAGAAGATATTAGCAAATGGTATATTTGATAAAAGGTTAGTATCCAAAATATATATAAGAACTTATACAACTCAACACCAAAAAATAATAACAATAATAATCCAGTTTAAAAATGGGCAGAAGACATTAGGGAAATAAATATCAAAACCACAATGAGATATCACCTCACACCAGTCAGAATGGCTAAAATTAACAAGTCAGGAAACAACAGATGCTGGCGAGGATGCAGAGAAATGGGAACCCTCCTACGCTGTTGGTGGGAATCTAAGCTAGTGCAACCACTCTGGAAAACAGCATGGAGGTTCCTCAAAAAGTTTAAAATAGAGCTACCCTATGACCCAGCAATTGCACTACTGGGTATTTACCCTAAAGATGCAAATGTAGTGATCCGAAGAGGCACGTGCGCCCGAATGTTTATAGCAATAATGTCCACAATAGCCAAACTATGGAAAGAGCCTAGATGTCCATCAACATATGAATGGATACAGAAGATGTGGTATATATATACAATGGAATATGATGCAGCCATTAAAAGAAACGAAATCTTGCCATTTGCAATGACGTGGTTGGAATTAGAAGGTATTATGCTAAGCAAAATAAGTCAATCAGAGAAAGACAATTATGTGATCTCTCTGATATGAGGAGTTTGAGAGGCAGAATAGAGAGGTCGTGGGGGGAAGGGAGGGAAAAAATGAAACAATATGGGACTGGGGAAAGAGACAAACCATAAGAGACTCTTAACCTCACCAAAAAACTGAGGGTTGCTGGGGAGTGTGAGCGGGGAGGGATATAGTGGCTGGGTTATAGACATTGGGAAGGGTACGTGCTATGGTGAGCGCTGTAAATTGTGTAAACCTGGTGATTCACAGACCTGTACCCCTGGGGATAAAAATACATTATATGTTTATTTTAAAAAATAAATTAATTAATTTTTTAAAAATGGGCAGAAGACATAAACAGACATTTCTCCAAAGAAGACTTACAAATGGCCAGCAGACACATGAAAAGATGCTCATCATCACTTATCATCAGAGAAACACAAATCAAAACCACAATAAGATGTCACCTCACACCCATCAGAATGGCTAAAATAAAAAACCCAATAAACAATTGTTGGCAAGGATGTGAAGGAAAAGGGACCCTCATGCACTATTGATAGGAATGTAAACTGGTGCGTCACTACGGAAGACAGAATGGAGGTTCTTTAAAAAATTAATAGAACTCCCCTAAGATCCAGTGATCACACTAGTGGGTATTTACTCAAAGAATTTGAAGGGATATATGCACCTCTATGTTTATGGCATCATTATTTAAAATAGCCAAATTACGGAAGCAACCTAAGTGTCCATCAATAGATGGATGGATAAAGAAAATATTGTGCGTGTATATATATAATGGAATCTTATCTGGCCATAAAAAAGAATGAAATCTTGCCATTTGCAACAACATGGATGGAACTAGAGAGTATAATGCTAAGCAAAATAAGTCAGGGAAAGACAAATACCATATGATTTCACTTATGTGTGGAATTTAAGAAGCAAAACAGGGACACCTGGGTGGCTCTGTGGGCTAAGCTGCTGCCTTCGGCTCAGGTCATGATCCCAGGGTCCTGGGATCGAGTTCCACATCGGGCTCCTTGCTCGGCAGGGAGCCTGCTTCTCTCTCGGCCTCTGCCTGCCTCTCTGCCTGCTTGTGAGCTCTCTCTCTCTCTCTCTCTCTCTCTGACAAATAAATAAATAAATAAAATCTTAAAAAAAAAAAAAAAAGAAAACAAATGAACAAAGGAAAAAAGAGACAAACCAAAAACAAACTCTTAACTATAGAGAATAAACAGATGGTTACCAGAGGGAAGGGGGGCGTCAGGGGATAGGTGAAATAGGTGAAGAGAATTAAGAGTACACTTATCTTGATGAGCACTGGAGTAATATATGGAATTATTGAATCACTATATCGTACACCTGAAATTAATGTAACACTATGAGTCAACTACACTGGAATTAAAATTTAAAAAAAAATAATGTTAGATGACCTTTACTGTCTGACTTGAAGTCTTATTATAAATCTGTTATAACCAACACCAAATGGTATTAGCTTAAGATAATATAGATCAGTAGAACAGGGAAGAGAATCCAGAAATAGATTCATATATACACAATCAATTGATCTTTAATGATAATGGTATTCTCAACAAGTGATCCTGAAAATCCCAAATATCTGAGTGGAAGCTCTGAGCTTCAGCCCCATATATTATGCAAAAAATTTGACTTGGAATGATGATAGACCTAAACATAAAAATTAGAGCTATAAACACAGATCTTGAGATAGGCAAAGATTTCTAAGCCGGGTCAGAAGAAATACAAACCGTAAAAGGAAATATTGATAAATTGAATGTAACTAGAATTAAAATCTTCTGCTTTTTGAAAAGACACCGCAAAGAACATGGAAAAAGCAAGCCACAGACCATGGGGTGGGAGCTTTTCACAATACCTTTATCTGAAAAATTACTTGACAATGGAATCTACAAAGAATTCTTAGAGCTCAAAAATATTATTATTATTCTTACAGTTTCTGAAAAAGTAGAAAACAACATATCAAAAATCATGGAAACTTTTAAACTAAAGAGATAATATTTCATTGGAGCATGTAACCTTTTACTACTTAATTTATGAAAAGATACACAAATATTTACTACTACACACATTTTATTAGGTGTCCAGGGAACAACATGAATCTTACATAATTTAAATTCTTAGCTTTAATGTTATATGTAAATAAGAAAACCTTATATCCTTAAACTATAGGTGTACAGAATGAAATATTACATTTATATCCTCCATTTTTCAGTTGTGTTTTATTCCTATACAACACTTGTATGAAGCTTTTGAACAATGTTGTCCTCACATCGAGTATAAAATGTGGCTAAAACTTGGACTTTCAATTGCTGCAAAAAAAATGAGGGAACATTTATCTTATGAGGTAAGAGGTGTTTATATATAAACTCATCCTTCTGTCTGAATAGAATTATATTAAAATGCTGTTATCAATTAACTCTTTAGGAATTGGTATTAAACATAAACAGTAGACTACGAAATCGTGTTTTCCTTATAGGACTGGAACTACAAGATGCAGTTAAAACTCCGTAATGTTTCTGTAAAAGATATACCAAAGAACACCAAAACTGGTATCTATGATGAAACTGTGACTTATGTCATCCTCATCCATGGAGCTGTAGAAGATTGTCAATTACGAAAAGCTTATAAGGCACCTTCCTTAATTCCTATAACATGCTGTCAGGTATAGAAATGTTGATTCCTGCCTTCCAGTCAATATGACATATGTCCAGACAATGTATGAACATTAGAAAAATTGTCACTTTTCCACCTTCCCATCCTCTGTGTTTCCTCTATCACTCCATAAACACACACCACACACACCCAGTTCACTGATTGCTTTGGTCCTTGGTAGCCCAAACATCAAGGTATCCTGTTCAGTGTCAATGAAGCAGACTGAGCTGTACATTTTGGCAGTGGTTAGATTTTGGTGCTATAGTACATAACAAGAGAGGGCCTGTTAAGTTCATTTACACGTTGCAGAAAGACCACTTTCCGTGGACTGTGTCAACAGTACTCTAGGAAAGTTCTGACAGACCCATGCTGAACTGAGTATCAGTGCTATTTGCTCAGCTACTTTGAAAATGAATGTAAGATGAAGGACTTGCCATGTTTAAGGGGCTGAGTTTTCCTGGCAATCAGAATGAGAAGTTGTGCATATGCAGAAAGAAAGAAGGCAGACTGTGTGTGTGTGCGTGTGTGTGTCGGGATAGAGAAAGAAAGGCACTTGTCAGGAGGAATCAGGGGACATACAATATGTATCTAGAGAAAATAAATTGAAAGACCTCAAGTCAATTAAATTAGGCATATATTTTGAAAGCAATGAATATATGGCAGAAACCACGCTAGATGCTAAAGTGATCAAGACAAATGAGATTTGCAACTTACTCTCAGAAGAGCTCTCAACCAAGTGAAAAGAAACATATATATGTTAATGAAACATGTACAGCTATGATAGAAGTACTTTAGAGGTAGCTTTGGATCAGGAGAAAAACATGAGGTGGGGATAAGAGGAATCCAAAGATGAGAAAGAGACATAAGAAAAATTTTCTGAACAGATGCCACCAGTTCCAATGTGATAGACCCACTGAGAGGAAGGGAGATATTACTATTAACTATGGTGCGGCCTACCACTCTATTCCTGAATACATAATAGCAAAGTTCCCCTGTGGGTGCTGACCGGGAATGTAGATGACCAAGTAAGATATCCTCAAGGCAACCTAAAACCTACGAAACTCTAGTCTACCCTCCTAGGCAGAAAGCCCTGCTACTCTAGATGTGGGTACCAATGTGATTCAAAACATATCAAAAATAACCACAGGTTGAAGGATTTCTTGACGTCTACTGTTTTTTAAACTTTCTTTTGCCACATAGGTAATCTCTCTAGGTGATATTTTAAAGCATCTTTAATAATTAACTCATAATGATTTTTCTCATTTCTAAAACAAATGAGCAGAGCATTTAAAAATCAATGAAAGTACATGGGATGTTGACTTTGAAAAAACCAACATAGTCCGGTATTTTAAGATATCTATCTCATAGAGACATGTTTACTTCTTATCCCGGATACTTAGAGAGGTCCTAAGAGAGTTTACCAGAGAAACATTTAATTGTATGATATGTACTCAGAAATTAACTTATAGTCTGTCAAACTTCAGGTACAAGGCACTGAAGATTTTACAAAGGTAATGATTGTTCAAACTTTGGTTGATTTGAAAAAATTCAGATGGAACACCAGAAAGTATGTACCTTCACGTAAAGCGTCTCTTCCAGTATCATGTGAGTTAGATTTCTCTGAGTAATTGAGACCTTAATTTCCATTTATAAAATTTTATATATTTATAAAATAGCCATATATGTATTTGGAAACTATTGAATACATTCTACCTAGAGTATTGGAAAATTAATTAATTTTTCCAATTAATTAATTGGAAAATTAATTGCCATATTTGATATCTGATGGGGGAATCCAGATTGACAATATCCATGTCATAGTAGGAATTATTCTATACTTCATCTATAAGAATAAACATACATAATTATCAAAATACTATGGAAAAATTGTTAATGAGGGAATTTTTATTTTTTAAGATTTTATTTATTTATTTTAGAGCACAGTGGGTGGGGTGGGGAGAGGAGCAGGAGAGGTGGGAGAGAGAGAATCTCAGACTCCCCACTGAGGGCAGAGCCCACCTCAAGGCTCAATCTTACCACCCTGAGATCATGGCCTGAGCTAAAACAAAGATTCAGACTTTCAATTGACTGAGCCACCCAGGCCCCCAGTGAGACAATTTTTAGCTCTTCCCTCAAATTAACATATTTTATATAGCAGTAATAATGGAAATACTGTGGTACTGTCTGACTCTTCCAATTACCCACAGCCTGGCATTCATTCTCAACACAACTTAACATTGATGTATTTGGGGATGATGGGACAATAGATCATTTTTTTTATCTCTTTACAAACTTCCTGCACGTTTGTTACATAATCTTTACAATAAAAGACTTTTAAGCCTTTTTTAAAAATATGACCCTTCTTCCCACCAATTGAGACTACCACCAATTTCAGATCATAGGCCCTGAGTGTGAATGACTTGAACCTGGTCTAATGTGACAGTTGAACTAATAGAAACAGTGCTTTGTTCCAGTGCTTGAACTAACACAGTCTTTCTTGAACTAGCAAGCAAACTCTATAAAGAAGACCTTCAATTTGATACAAATATTGAGGTAAATTTAAAACAGTCTTTTTAAAAGTTTTATTTTGGGGAAAAGAGAGTCTGGAATGTATGAAAATTATCAGTGTGTTTCTCTTAATCTGAAGGAATTTACCTGCTAATCATTTTGTAAATATCGATATGAACACTGTCTGTCTTAGTCCAGGGTAAGTATAAATTGTATTTATATTTTTGGGTAAATATCAGATAAATGACAAAGAAAAACAAAGGTCAGAAGATACCAGAATATTTATTTTGAATCACATGAGCCACCACGCACTATTGAGTACCTAGTTGAGTAGCTAGTCACTAGGGTTGTCATGTACATGAGCCCCTCCCACTTCTCTGCCTTGGGATGAAATTTTGACTGGTCTGAAGCCTTCATTGCTACCTCAACTATGCATCTGAGATCTTCCAAATGGAGGCAGTTTGCTCATCTATTCACAAAGCCTGTCACAAAGCAGGAGCTCAGTGATGACCGTACTAATCTAATCTGCCCCAGGCTAACCCAGAAAAACCCATAAATATTGGTTCATTTCATAGTCCCCTATGAACTTGGACAGGTCACTTAGGGATCTTGGGATCTTCAAAACCCTGGGCCAACTTGGCAACAAGATCCCAAGTTCTGAAACATTACAGAGCCCTGGAATTGAAAGTGGGGCACAGAGAAATAGGATGGCAATACCTCACTACCTCTACACCAGCTTGCTTGTAGACTGAATCCTGGGGAGATCCAGACGAGGTAGAGAATTTATTTGTAATTCTAGTTTGTGCCAAGCTGGTCATATTACTCCAGGGAATGTTGATTATAATACCCAGAATCTGAGAGATATCTTGTACAAATACGCAATCCAGAAAATTGTGTATTTGGTTGTTAAAAATTAGTTTCACATCAAGTCCATTTGCTCTATTAGCACTAGGCATAAAATTCTAAGAACACATGTTCCTTCTCCCCTGAATCTCTCAACAAGAGTATGTTGCAGGGAAGGTGGTTACAGGTTCTGGGGAGAAAGCTGAAGGCCGTTTCTCTCATGTCTGTCTGGTCTTCAAGAGGCCAACACTTTTCTTTAATATCCAATTCCCATCCAGCATAAAAGCAAGAGGTTCACCTCCTCCCTAAACATTTTGGAGTCTTTCTGGGGAAGCTGTTCCTCAAACTTCCCTGATTATTCCTTGTTGCCTGGAACTACTGACCCAATAACATACAGGCTGAGAGTATTTGCTCTGACGTGAGACTCCTGGTTTCCTTACTGGTTCCATCACTTCTTAGCCATGTGATCTTGGACAGATTTCTTAACCTCTTTAAGCATCCACAAAACAGAGACAATAACCATACTTGCCTTGTATAGTGCTGCCGTGCAGATTAAAGAAATGGAAAGTAGACTGCAAATTGTTTGGCACATAACAAGCAATCCATATGCATAATTTCCATTATTTTCTGCTAACCCCTTCCTCACATTGTAAACTACTTCTCCAGACTTCTTGTGCTCTCCAGATAACTTATTTTCTAAAAAATACAGATATAGGTACCTCCTCTAATTCTCCCAAACACAGTTGCTGTTGAAGACTAGGAAGTAACAAAAGTAAATTACAATTTAAAAAATGAAGAAGATGAGGAGAACATTTAAGATAAAATATTAGATGGTTCCTAGGGGCCACTGGGTAGCCTATCTTTCTCTTTAGCCTGGGCAGGCTGCCAAGCTTATAAGAGTCAGCTTAATAGTGTATTTTTAATAATGAGGGAGCAGGGAAACCAATGCTCTCCTGTACATATTCCCCGAAGTGCTGCTTTTTCAAAATTAAAGAAAACCTGATGGCATGAGGTTGTTAAGATAGAGAAACTAGTGTGGAAGTAAAGGTCCATTAAATGGTAGAAACATCAACTACTGAGCCTATATAATATATAATAACTGTCAAATTGTGTTATTTAGTAAATGCTTTTTCTTCTTGATTAGATCCTGGCTCTGTTTCTGGGCCAACTCCCTTCATGCTCCCCCAAACCCTCCTCCCACCAACACCCCAGAACTGTAGATTTACCTTCACATAGCAAAAAGGCCTGTTGCCACATCCATCAGCTCTTTACAAAGTGTTTTGGTCCCCAGGATGGGAATAAAAACAGTGCTGCTGTTGTAGAAGTCCTCATCCTCAGTCCCTTGCTCCATAGACCAGATTTGACACCAGCCCTGCTTTATAACTCTAACCCATTATAATAGTCTTGGAATTTGACTCCTATCTGCTATCTCAACTTCTAGATTCAACAGCCTACAGGATTCCTTGATAGTATTAAGGAGGAAATGGACATCTATCCGGTCACCTAGAATGAGACTCAGTGAAAATCTGGTAAGCTGCCTCAGTTTCCTCAACATGATCTGGATCACACCTGTTCCTGGAGATACAGGCTGAAGCCAAAAGTTCAGGTCCCCTTTGGTGTGACAGTGTGAATTATACCCCTTTCCACTAGCCATTATTTGCTATATAATCACTTCCACTAACCTGCTGATTCTTCTAATGACACTATCTCTGAATTCTAATTTGGAAAATTAACTCTAAAATAAGATTCCTTTATCGAGATTTCTGAAATAGACTCCTGGCTTCCTCTCTTTATTCTGCTACTTAATCCCACGTGCAGCATGCTCATTTTTTAGGCTGCCCTGCACCGTGGAAGATATAAACAAGTAACAAAGATATAAACAGGTGATAAGTGATGACTTAATTTTCAAGAGCTTCTGTTCTAGTTAAGGAGGCAAAACAGATCAGAAGGCAGTCCAATAGCCATTTGAGATATACTGTGGATCATGCCAACTGAAACTAAAGGAATTCAAAACAGAAACAACTGCTGGTGAACATAAAGTCTTTGTGGAGAAGGGAAGAGGATGTTTGGAGTAGGGGACACAAGAGACCAAGACTTTTGGGAAACAATGAGTTGACCAGTCTACCTTTGGTTGCTCAAAATGCAGCGTCAATGAAGAAGTGCATGTGGGAGGGGAGGTGCACGCTTTATATGACTGTGTTACATAAAGCATATCGCTGGGTTTAAAAATGACCTTCTGATAAATCTTTGTGTCTCCATTTAAAAAATCTCAACTCTTGCATGCTACTTTCTATGACAAAGACCAAATTTAAAAATAGAGCCAAAAGGTAACAATACACTATGAAAAAGTATTTTTAGGAATTACTTGTAATATGATCAGTATCTTCATGTGGGGATAAAGATGTATACAAAATGATAAGGAAAACACTATGACTCCAATAGGCAAATTTAAAAACAGCCAGTTCAGGAGAAAGACAATACCCAGAATAGGGAGAAAATAAGAAGCACCAAGTTAAACAACAATGAAGTATTAACACTGACTTTTTAAAATTAACAATATTTACTCCATGGAAAGAACTATTTCTTTTGAAATAGCTGAAAATAGCATGATACTTGTTTTCTTATATTTTGCTGGTAGTTGAGTAAAAGGAATTTGAAGTAAAAGTTATAAAAATGTTTATATACTTTGACTCCACGAATTTGCTTCTGAGAATTAACCCAAAAAGAGTAATCCAAAGTAATAAAGTAGACATATGCACAAACTGCCCAGTGCACCACCATTTCTAATGGTAAAACATTAAAAAGAGTCCAGGTATGTGCTATGGTGCTGTGAATTGTGTAAGACTAATGAATCACAGACCTGTAACCCTGAAACAAATGATACATTTAATGTTAATAATAAAAAAGGTAGCAAAAAAAAAAAAAGAGTCCAAGTGTCCAATAGTAAGAAAGTATATAATTTCACTACAGACCATCCTTTAGAGGAAATCCACAACCATTAAAAAGATTGGTTGTATAGTCCAATGTAAAATATAAAAATGAATGCAAACCCATACATACAACTTTCTTAACATGAAAAGAGGTCAGGGGTGCTTGGGTGGCTCAGTCAGTTAAGCATCTGCCTTTGGCTCAGTCCTGGGATCAGATTGAGCCCCACACCAGTCTCTCTGTTCAGCAGGGAGTCTGCTTCTCCCTCTTCCTCTGCCCCTCCCTCTGCTTGTGCTCTCTCCCTCTCTCTCAAATAAATAAATGAAATCTTTGAAAAAAAAAAAAAAAAGAGAGAGAGAGGCCAGAAAAGATAAACACAAATGATTCAACCAGATGTTAGAAAGGTAAGAGTAGGGACAGGTGTGTTCACCTCTTATCATATTTTCCATGGTTTTATTGCTCTTGTAATAAAAAAAATGATTGTGAGCATTATTCAAATAGAAATACTCTGGAAGTTGTCTGTTCCTTTCTGCCCCTCTTTACACTCAGCAATCCCTGAGTGGTGAAAAGGAGAGGTAGCTACCAGAGCTGAGAGACCTCACTGGTGCTTCCCATAGTGGAACATACTACTCCTCTAGTCCCTAAACTAACCCTGTCCCATTCAGCAGGCCCCAGGGGCTCTCAAACTGTGACCTCCAGTTTAAATCATGCCACCACTACTTTGGGAAAAATGACTGACTCACACTTACCCACTCGATGTCCTTTCTTGTCCTCAGCAATAATGACCAGGAGGTATTTCCTGTGGGAATTAAACTGACCCTCTAGTGCATCCTGTTTGGGGTTGTAAGTCAATGTTGAAAGATTCCAAAGCTCTTTTGCATTTGTTTTTTTCCCCCCCTCCCTACTTCTGTTAGGAATGGTTGACAACACTGTTTTGAAGACTGACGCCCATATAGGATCTGCTGTCAGGGGACACCACCTGTTTGTGAAACACATTCCCCTGCATCCAAAGGGAACAACCTCAAGCCGGACCCCGTATGGTTGATCCTGGTGCCACAAGGAAAGATGTTTGGACATTGCAACCATTCCATCTAAAATATATTTTTTGGAACATTTTCTTGATCGAAAATATCTTTTATGTTAAATAGTCTGAAACATCTCAGAAAATCAAAGAGTAAGTTTTCATTTTAGAGCCAGAAAATAAGCTTAGGCTACCTAGGATAGTTTGCATACTGCTCTTAGAGCAAAAGTGGTTTGATTCACTTTATGAAAATGTATTAAAATGTAGTTTAAATGTTGATCTTAAACCAAGTATTGATTTTTGGCCTTCATTGTACTTCATGAATCTTGGAAGCACTCAGTGAATAAAATAGTAAAGAATGGAAACTAATTTACACTTGAACAATGTAACTCAGTGTCCATTTTAGTAATTATCCCATTACAACAATAAGCCCAATGCCTGGCACATCATTTTTCTTTTTAGGGAGAGAGAGAGAGAAAGAGAGAGAGTGAGCTGGGGCAGGGGGAGAGAGAGAGAATCCCAAGCAGGCTCCACACTCAGCATGAAGCCCAACATGGTGCTTGATTTCACAACCCTGAGATGATGACCTGAGCTGAAATCAAAGGTCAGCTGCTCAGCCCCACAGGTGACCCTGGCACATCATTTTTTAAAATGGTCTTAACCAGGGGCACCTGGGTGGCTCAGTTGGTTAAACATCCAACTCTTTTTTTTTTTAAGATTTTATTTATTTATTAGAGACAGAGCGCACAGAGAGAGAAAGAGAGCATGGTGGGGGGAGGAGGAGGGAGAGGCAGACTCCCCACTGAGCAGGGCAGATGTTTCACCAACTGAGCCACCCAGGTGCTCCACGCATCCAACTCTTGACTTCAGCTCAGGTCATGATCTTGTGGTTATGGGATTGAGACCCACACTGGGCTTAGCGCTCAGCAGGGAGCCTGCTTGAGATTTTTCTCTCTCCTCTCTCTCTCCCTCTGCCCCTCCCCCTACTCTCTCTCTCTCTCTCTCTCTCTCAAATAAATAGATAAATCTTTAAAAAAAAAAAAAACAGTCAGAACCAGTTAAGAGTTACTGCATGCTTCCTATATGCTATGTGTCTGACAAATGCTATGTACTTACAGACTTACTTAATCTTCACAACAACCATATAAGGCAGGTACTATTATTTCCATTTTACAAATGTGTAAACTCAAAGAGTGTGAGTAATTTGCCAAATATCTCACCACTGGTAATAGGCAGAGCAGAGATTTGGAAACAAGCCTGTGACTAGCTATTATACCATACATCTCTCAAGTATGGTAAGTCCTAAATAAATATCTGAATAATTAATAAAAATTTAAATATCTGTCTTCAGGTACACACTTCCATCCAGAGATTAGAAATCTGAATACTAAATCTTACCCTCTATAACTGTTGTAAGCATATTTTCAGAAGCCAGGTGTAGAGCTTCCATTCACAAAAGGTCCTTGCAGAGAAGACAATTTGGTTTGTTTATACTGGGAAAGTCAAATCAAACTACTATCACCTCTCTCCAAAACTGAACTCAACTGGTTTTTTATTCCAATGATAATTGACTAGCAGATATTATAGTGTTTGAGGGAACCCCACTAATGAGTACCCTTTTTCTCCTGAGGGCTGAACCAAATGAAAATTAAAATAAATGCTTGAGGCAGTTAGAGATTAAACCCCACCCCCAACATACACACACTCATGCACATGCCTTTATTAATAACTGAACTGACGTAAAGAACATGGTTGCCTTCTGACCCACAGAACTGGATGTACTGATCATCCAATGTATTGACCATTGTAGGCGTTTATCATTAAGCTTACTGCATAGCTGAGAACAACAGACAATGCAAGATTTGTAAAGTCAAATTTACTCTCTCAAGAAATCAGGAACAAAAGGCTGAACAAAGACTGTCCAGATTCTGCTTCCAAATTCATCAACCTGATAAGCCACTCCACCTCGGCAGAATGAATGAGGTGGACAAGCCATGAGCACTGGGGTAAGGGAGAGTAAAGCCCTCAATCCCAAACAAGACGCCAGGTGGGGAAAGGTCTCTCCACCAATAGCTTGTCATTGACAGTGAGTTTGGTAGGCACCGGACTCTCTTCTGAGTGTTTTGCCCTCTTTAGCCCAGGCAATCATCACAGGAATTTTAGGAAGTGGGTGCTATCATTGCCTCATTTTACAGAGGAAATAGTGAGACTTAGGGAATTCAGATAAATTACCCAAAGTCACATCTAGATGAAATGACATTGGGACTCAAATCCTCTGAGCCCATTCAATATAATTTGTGAAATAAAGTCCCTAGGCTTTATTTTGGAAATCTAAAGCATCAGAGAAGAGGATAGACTCCACAAATACTGACCATGATCAGCGTCTTGCCAGGTTTGTGTTCTGGAGTATAATCATTTTCAAGTAGGGAAAGAACCCCAAACAAGGTACTGAGATAAGAAGTAATCCCAACACCAGGCATGGTATATACCCACACACCCCCATCAGCAGGAGCTGGGTGGTTGTGTGCCCAGGACTCTTCTCTCATCTGAAAGAATGTAATACACAGACATTGACCAGAGGAGAATGCTTAGAGCTCACTTCCATTTGACTCCTCAGAGGAAACCCACTTATTTGCTTAGAGAGCCCAGAACGTCTGCTTTTAAAATTTTTAGCTAGAAGGTTTCCTTGGTCCTTTGATTCTCAGATTTCTTTTTAATTTAGCTTTTAGCTTTTATGGTGCTTAAACCCAGTTTGTATTGTTGCCCTAAATGCTTAACTTAATCATCTATGTTCTACAATAGTTTTACTCATGAGAAACCAGAAACACTGCAAATGAAGGAACATTCTTCCCAAGGTCATTCATGGCTCAAACAGTGACAAGGAGTGCTATATCCTTCACCTGCCATTAGATTCGTAAGAGCCCTCTCAGTGAGCTGAACAAATCTCCATTTTGTTGCCAAAGAGAGCTCTTACCATTAAAAATAACTCCCTGTGTTATTATGGTTCCTGGAAAGTCAGCAGAGCTATATGCGAAAATCCCTCCACCAGAAAGCAAAATCCCATCCCAAAAGTTCACTTAAGGAGGTACTGAAACTCTGCTGCTACCTCCTGTTTCAAAACAAATGCATATTAGTGGGGAATGTCAGCAATGAAGAGCCACAGTTTCAAAGACATAACTGACTCCCTGATATTAGCCAGCACTCCTACTCAGCTCATACTCTGCACCACAAAGTAAGCAGTTGGAAAATTACCCTCAACAAGGCATCTCGATAATATCACACCATGAAGTCTTCGTCCTCTCCGTAAGACCTCTGGGAAGGAAGCGGAATAGGGAAATCTTAACTAAGCTATTAGTTTCATGACTGTACAAGAACTCTTAAATAAACCAGCTTTTTTCCTTCCATAAAATGATCCATGAGGATTTTCCTTTCACATAAACATCTCCCCCAGTTCCCTTTACTAGCCATAGGAGTCTACAAAGGAGTAAGCTGAAGCCATATCTATCCCATCCAATTCTTTGAGACTGAAGAAGCTCAAAGAATCACTTATTTGAAAGGCCTCTAACCTGCCTTAGCAGCTGAAGTCAGCCAGGTGTTGCACAGGATATGAGGTGGCTCAGTCTGTTAAGTGTCTGCCTTCAGCTCAAGTCATAATCCCAGGGTCCTGGGATCAAGCCCATATCGGGCTCCTTACTCAGTGGAGAGTCTGCTTCTCTCCCTTCCTCTTCCCTGCTCCTGTGCTCTCTCTCTCTCTCTCTCAGAAAACAAACAAACAAAACAAAACAAAATACAGAATTGGGAAGCACTCTAAACACGCAAGTATGTTTCAGTCTTTCCAGACACACTGGAGTGATAACACACCAGAATTCAAAGCTAAGTATTTATTGAATAGGGCAACGAACAGAGAGAAAAGGTCCACATTCTTTTTAAACTCAGATTCTAGCTCTCTTGCTTATTATGGTGTGTCCTTGAGCAAGTCACTTGTCTTGTATGAGCCTGCGTGTCCTCATCTCTAAAATAGAGGAAATAGTATTTATCCCATAGAATTTTTGCATAAACAAATGAAAAATTATATCTAAAACATTTAAACTGTGCTTGGGTTATATAGGAAGCTCTCAACAAATAGTTATTTTGATATTAGCCTATGATCTTGAGATACAGCAAAACAGTCTTTACATTCGTCATCAATTCTCTGCAGTAATGCCAAAAGGAAAGTAAATTTCAACTCAACCTTCCACTGATTTCACCATCATCTGTTTACAAAGATCCAGGCTTCTATTTCCACTTCAATTCCTATAGTTTCTCATGTATTAGGCACTGGGGTCAGCACTAAGGATAAAAAGGATGGTCTGATTCAAAGATTTGTTATTTTGGCTTCTTTTTGTGGAGATGTGTGCTGCTCTACTTCCATTTGTGAAGTGGAGGTAGATTATGGAGTCCAGAGTCGTTTGCACAGCAATAAACGTGTGTATTATCCATGCCTGCTCTTCCCAGCTACCTCACACAATCATAGGAAATTTTCATGATGGGGAGATAACACTTCCACTCAGCTCAGCTTCTCCATCTAGTGGCCTGAGGAAAGGTGACATTTGAAGGTCAAGGAGTGATCTATCCCCAGCAATGGTAAATTGATTTCTAACCTTCACCCCTGTGGCATTGATCCTTTGGCTTTGCTCAAAATTGGAACAAATTAAGCCACCCATGGGGCAGTGTCCAGACTGTTTGCACAATCTGTTCCATCCAGAGTCTGGAATATCTTAATTCATACAGATGAGGAGTCAGCAATAGTCCTACTCACTGGCTAAATGTCCTTGACCATTTTGTTTTCCCCATGATTCGAAGAAATTATGGTTCCCTTCTGCTGACCCATAGGCTGTGTGAAAGGTACAGAAGCTATTGAGGAGGGGCACCTGGGTGGCTCAGTGGATTAAGCCTCTGCCTTCAGCTCAGGTCATGATCTCGGGGTCCTGGGATCAAGCCCCACATCGGGCTCTCTGCTCAGC